CTAATTTATTAATATTTCAATTTGAACGTAATTTATTTTCGATATTCTAATATTTCAATTCAATTTTTATCAACTCCGTATATTCTGCGAGATTTTGATGTAGCCTCAATTTTATATTTTGAATAAATTTCTAAAATAAGTCAAGATCCAATAATATTAAATAACATTTGGAAAGCTGTATTCGATGTTTAAAATTTTCAATATTTCTATGCAACTGATTTTTTCCTTCTTCTCTTCTCCAACTATTCGTGAATCGCAAGTGTTTGAATATTAATGTCGTTTTATATACGTCTCATAGGGATAAAAAGTAGCGAATAATGGCAGAAACTTTAAATTTACACGTTCCGTGCCAGACCTTTTTTTTTGTTACTTTCCGATTAGGCAGCGTGGGATGTATATACCCCACGCGACATGGAACATGTTGAAGAATCCTAGAGTACCTATGAATTTCCTATACAGTGGTATTTTCAGTTGAAAAGACTGACAGCTTTGTAGTACAGAAGAAACTGTTGCCTACGAGATAATATTTGTAATAAGCATTATTTACTCTTTTCACCATTGACGTCTCACCCACATCCTTGAGCTTCTGTAGTCCCTGGTATTTTCTTGGTGATAATTTATAAATTATTTTTCTTTCTGGAACGATTTGGGTTAACTCAAAAATCGAAAAGATTTATTTCGTGCAATACTGACACAAATATTGTACCGTACACTGAAGTGTGATGCGATCAAATTTTATTTCAATGATACCAAGAAGATTACTAACGACTTTGCGAAAATAAATGAAAATACGATAATCAGGCGTCAACAGAAAAAAACACTCACATGATAACTTTTGAATCTCGAATTTGAAAAAACCATCTAGCTTCAAAAAGCCCTTTAATATATTTATAGTAGTATTTTATGGTATAGTATATATACAACTTGATTGTTGAAATATATGGCAGCTTCAGTGCTTCGTCTTCGATATATTAGCCCTGAAAGAAAGTAAATACATTTTACATGGAAGCATAATTTTAATGATCACAAAAAGTTAATCGGCTATCAATAATATACTTACGTTTGCATTTGTTTACTGCCGCTTAAAACAATGTAAGGTGATTGGGTTTCTTTCTGCTTTGCTTGAAGTAGATTAAGGGTACCCAGAGGTGTATCCGTCGAAGACATTCGCTTCATCAGGACTTCTTGTTCCGCCTTTTTCATTCGCTTCTCCACTTTGTTCTTTCCTGGACCCTTTCCATGGAATTTGTGAGACAGATACCTGAATGCTTCTTTGGCACTCAAAACATGCCCATCGTCATCAATATATTCCAGTTTAACATTTGGTTTGAAGCCATCTTTTTCCTTGAAGTCTGAAGTTGGTCCATTAAATCTATCTCTCCTACCAAACTTGTCATCATCCCTGTATAAAAGTACATTTAAATTGAAAATTTGTAGGAATCATGAAATAGCTGTGAAAGTAATTTGCTTCATAGAGATATACATACCCATAAGTCTTGTCTTCGATAGAATAATTTTGAGCCTGTAAATGAGCAAAACGAGAAGCGGATGGCCGATTTGAATCCTCTATTTGCAAATAGCCTTTGCTCATTGCGAGTCTCAGTGCTCCACCCACACCTTGACCTAGAGATGGTTCCGCATCAAGAATAGCAACTTCCAAAGCTGCAGGTTCAGGTATAGCTTCATCTAGAATGAAAATTGCATAAGTGAAGATCTACTAAATATTCAAACTTGTAATTCTGAGATAAAAAAAATTTAATTATTATATGTTTCATACCTAATTGTACGGTGTTCCAAGCTCCACGCCCATCGCCTTCTTCTCCTTCCGGTATTACTTCGTCCTTTACGCCATCTACTTCATAATCCTGTAAATACAAAGTTGCATATAATTAGCATTGGTACTGTTGAGTGCAATCGCTTGTTTAATAAAGTTATGATTTCTTTGAGGAAAAGTACCATAAGCTCTTGGTCATTCTCTTCTCGATTACCCGCCAGCCCGTACGTAGGAATGTCTCCCAAAGTCCTGCAAAATTCAGCAGTAGCATTCAAGACGATATTCCCAGGCTGATTATCTTCGGAATTATCAGCTTCTTGCTTTATACTTTGTGCAACTTCTTCTATGCTTGAGAAATTTGGCTGCTTTAGACGCTGCGCTTTCTTTAGTGCCAACTGCAGATCCAATTCTTTGTCATCCTCTTCGATTTTTACTCCAGTTAGATCTTCCGTAGGGGCTACCAATTAAATGAAAAATTACCTTTAAGAATCAAACTTTGTTAAGCAGCTTTATAATTAGATTTTAAAATGTATTAAGTAGTTTACCTTCGAAATCATCAACGTCCATCATGTTATCAGCATCATCCTTTTCCTGAGTGGCATCATTTCGACGGCTTCTTCTACTACCAAGATCTCTGAGATAATCGGTATTATCAGGAACGATATCATCCGCTTTCAGCATTTTCTTTTGCCTAATTTTTCTTACCTAAAGTTAAAGAATTTATTAAGCGTCTTGCATGAGTGTGAAAATAGAATATACTTACTCGAATCTTTAAGAGCACTTACTTTTTTCTTTGTCTTTTTGAATTTTGCTAGTTCTTCTTCGTTATAATATTCACTAGCTAATTTTGGCTCGGATAACTTTAGACTTTCCAGCCTTTTACTAGCCAGACGATTCTTCACCATTTCGGCTTGCCGCTGTTTTCGTTCCTTCGCATCATCTATTCCCAGTGCAAAACTTTCCTTCTTTTGACCTTCAATCTCCTCATCATACTTTTCTAAAACTTTATTTTTTGGGAAGCCGTATTCATCAAAATTGTCATCATCGTAAGCGTCATATCCTGGCTTTTTGGACTTATTTAAGTTACTGCGTTTATAACGCTCTTCGTCTATCATGTTAACATTCACAAGGACATCATCTTCCTCTTCCAAAACACCCTTATCTTTCAATGTTAAGACGACGGTTTTACCCTCTTCAAAATTATCCTAAAAGTGAATAAAATATAATTTCTTGTCTCATTACAGAAGTGGAACCTCACATGCTACATATGCTCAAAATATATTTTTTATATTCACCATATTGTGCTCGACTTTAAGTCCTTTTAAATCTCTTTTTGTATACGCTGTACGACGTTCACTCCGTACTTCTTCTTCAACTAAATTTCCAATACCAAATTCCTCATCAAGTTGATCCAACATTTTTGCCTAAAGCATGTAAGTTTGAGTACAGAATTATAGCATGAAATAAATATTCAATACATAAAATTACAAATCAAAATAATTTGTTACCCTCTCTTCAGCTTTCTTTTTTTCTTTTTGTAAACGCCTATTTTTCTCAACCCATCCCTTTGCGTCATCATCCGAATCACTTTCACCTAATGGCTTTACTTTCGCTAAATTGGTTTCAATTTGCCTCTTCTCCTTTTGCAATGTCAGTTTTTCCTTAATTTTCTGAGTTTTAACTTTCTCATTAGCATTGGGTGCAGGTTTATGATAAAACTCTCCCAGATCATCTTTAATCTTATTTGGATCATCTTTCCCAGCACTACTTTCAACCTCTAAAGGTTTCAAACCCAATTTGGCACGAAGCTTATTAGTTTCATCGATTGACAAAGATAGCTGTGATGAACCACCCATCGGAGGAGAAGGAGTTCTTTGACCAGATATTTCTGGTGGTGGAGGTGTCGCTGGATGAGAAGTCTTTGATATCTTTGGCGGTGGTGGTGCACTGACGACTTCGACTGATAAATGATAATTTATACTTATTACTCTATTACTTATTTAAAAAATATTGAAATTATTGAATACTATATAAATTACATGTATTATATAAAATACTCTAAATATTTACCATCGCTATCATAGTCCTTGCGCTCTTTCCTCTTATGCTTCTTATGATGCCTGTGTTTGTCAGCCTTTTCTCGTTCAGGGGTATGTGATCGTGACCGACTACGATGCCGTTTCTTCTTAGTCTCACGAACTTTTTCCGTTTTATGTCGTTTATTCGAACCCATATTCAGTTTGTTCGTGATACACTGGTTTCAGAATATAAAAGCTTAACTAAATCAGCATAACGTTTGTCAACATCTAACCTCAAGGCTTCTCACAGTCAAAAGTTCCAGAGTTCTGTAACCTGTAAATACTACTCTGAATACTAAACTAATCCACTTACGGCAGTTCACCCATAGGTCTGTTCGTTTTAGCGATTTTGTGTGCTCGGAGTGCTACAGGCTTGTTCAAAAATGAACCAACAGCGCTAAAAGAATCGCTCCGTCTCGATCAAACGCATTCAAGAATAATGCTACATAATAAACAATAAAGATTCCCACCATTTATGGGGTGATTACATGAAATCTCCCTTGACATGGTAAGCTAGTCATAATAGTATTAATTATTTGCAAGAGAGTTATAACTCGTATATATTATCTTCTCATTGCTGGGCCTGATAAATACTAAAAGCAGCTAGCAGTAGCAGGAATGAGGTGGTGGCTTTTGTCGTAAATCTTATCGAGCTTACACTGTGCGCTCGTATCTAAGATTGCAAAGGAAACAAATATTTAGGCAATATCTGATGATTGGCCTCGTTCGAAGTGTAGCTTTGGGAAGCAGCGGTAAGTAGCGGAGAACCTCTGCCCGCCAAGCTACACGTTCGTGTTCACGTTTAGGTCGGCTACGACGGGATTCGCATTGTCGACGGAGGCGATGATCACAAAATCCTACTTCCAGACTCGTCGCTACAATTTAGCGCCATGATTTTGGTATCGCCTGAAACCGTAGCGTTGTACATCTCCCTACCCATCTGTGCATTTACCTTTCTTCTTCCACCTGTGTTCCCCTTTGAGAGGTGGCAGCCATAAGGAAAGGAAGGAAGGAAATGTTCCCCTTTGGAAACATTATGGGCATATCTTTTTTTCTTTCCACTGCACCTTCAATGAATGTAACACACTATAAATTATACATTCCAAAATAGATGGCAATACTATTTGAAAATTAAAAAACTTTGTAAATCCTAAACGTCATTAGAATAATTCAAATACCTATCGTCAAGCACCGTACGTAATTCGAATAATATTTCTCTCTTCTTTATCAATGTTAATATTATTTCCATTATAAACAAATACTAAAGATATTAAGAGCGTGTAGCAATGTACTCAATAAAATCATCACTTATTGCGTTGACAGAAATATAAAATACGTAAGGCAAAAATTCAAAGTATTGACAAAACATTATCTATCAGGTCTACATGTATAATGAAAAGTAATTGAAATTTGAAGCACAATAAATTTCATCCGTATATCAGAAAATGTCGCATGATTAAAAGCAAAAGGGCGTAGCTCGTTGAAAATCCTATATTTACACCCTTTTGCATTTAGTGGCGCGACATGTCAAAAAGAATTATTTGCAAAAACTTATCTGCAATTTAAAGATTTCTAAAAAACTGCTGCAGGCCGGATCCGCACGAAATCAGTGACATTCCTTTGACAATAGGTAAGAGGTTAAATAGGATCTAGAAAGTGAAAAAGATCAAATCGGATGAGTGACTAACGAGTTGGAAAGTGGAAGGACCAAAAGAGAACCCGACACTAAAGCCAAAGCGGAAGGAGAAGAAGGATCGACGAGAGTGTAACAGAAGTATGGGAATGGATGTCGGCTCGAGAGGACGAGGTAAAGTGAAAGAGCGAGAAAAGGGAGAAAGAAAATGGAGGTAAAGAATACCAACAAGATACGTAGCTGACAGTGACCCGTTAAATTTCGTAGAATGGCAATTTCGATTACTCAGCCCTAAGATGAAAATTCTGTTACGACATCAGCCGAAACAAATTAAAGCGAGCCTAAACTTGTCCAGTGCACTCTCGAGTACCAAAGAATTTCGTTAAAGGAAATTTTTCGGTTTCCACTCCTACTACCTGAAATTGTCATTAAGGGAGCTCGCAGAGGGACCGTAGCATGGGCAAAGGGGGGCCCCCGTCAGTGAGTAGTATATTGCCTGGAAGATGATGCTCGACTAGAGCTAGGGAGCGAGTTTATCTGTTGGAATAAAGCCATTACCTGGATAGTACATGGTCATCCTGGGTCCTGGGAAGGACGCCGGTCGAATTGGCCGTGGGCAGACCCGGGGAGTCTAAGGGGGATGTCCCCCTCACGGACCCAAGAAGAGAAGAATGAGCAACCAGTAGTGGGGGATACTGAAGATGCTGGAGATGCTCTCTTGGTAGATGATGGGACCTGAACGTGAGACAGGTTGGACCCATGTTACTACGTGTGCCTGGGGAACTGAACTCTCCAGGAGGATAGAGAAGCCACACAGGAACAGAAAGATAGAAGGAGAGAAAAGTCAAGAGATGGCAATAGGACTCTTCTCTCTTGACTATAGCATGAGAGCATGAGAGCATAAGAGTATGGGAGTACCACCGTGGGCCGCATTCTCTACCTGTGTGGTAAAACGCTCACTCAGGACCCCAAGGGGGATTCTAAAACAAAGACTACTCGACGACGGGCGCGTTGTTCTAACATCACCCTCATTACGAAACAATTTCCACATCCCTTTTCGATACTTAAAAAACACCGCCGACCGTTCACTATCATCGGCTCAGTCCCATTAACCAATTGTCATGCGGTTATTAGTAGGTATAGTTCCTTCAATAATAGCGTGGGAGAGAGCCGTCACGATATTCTCTTCGCCACGTCAATCGACCTTTTTCTCAACGCATCCACTTTAGATACCGGCACTCTCCTCTTCTATGTGATTCAGCCAAATAAATACTTCGGCATTCACATAACCTACAATTCTATTTCGTCCTTACTGTTTTTCCGATCCTTAAAAATCCACTCCCATTTTTCTCTCCTTAGTTATCTCGTAAAACCTGCAAAGAGTTATGCTGCATCGCTAGTGAAGCTACGCGGAATTCTGGGCATTAATGTCTATACACCTAGAATACATAATATTATCTTTAGAATTTTGTTTTACATAAATACCTGACAAGAAATTAAATAATATATAGTTATACTGACCTTCGTGCACAACGAAGAATATTTTCGATATCGTTTCTCTGGATGCATCTGCTCAAAAAGTTGATTGTTCGACATTCTTGCTAGTCAGGTGATATAATGACGACAAAACAAAATGCTAGCGACTGCTCGAAAAAAAAAAAAAAAAAAAAAAAAAAAAAAAAAAAAAAAAAAAAAAAAAAAAAAAAAAAAAAAAAAAAAAAAAAAAAAAAAAAAAAAAAAAAAAAAAAAAAAAAAAAAAAAAAAAAAAAAAAAAAAAAAAAAAAAAAAAAAAAAAAAAAAAAAAAAAAAAAAAAAAATGAAAGGAGTTTCAACAAACCGAATGAGTTTGCTTTATTCTAAGTAAATACATATAGAGCTCTTCTGCGAACAGGTGAGACGGTATGCAGCCTCGAGGAGAAATCCGATAAAGGTGGAACAGATGTATAACAAATTCTCAGTAACCCTAATGACATGCTATATAACGTAGCAGGAGAATTCGTTAATGTATACCGCGACGTTTTTTAGCCAATCCTTGGTAAATTTATAATTCGAGAATCAACGACGCATTTACTGTACAATAAAAATAGCAATGTGCTCGAGCTATGGCAATAAATATTAACCAAGTGGCGGAAGTACGATCGCACCCAAGTAGCAAGCCATTCGAATTTCTAGCAGCTTCTCAGTTCGAAAATTAGCACGCGTTCGGTGCTACCCAAGCCAAGCCAAACCCAACCTAACCTAACCTAATCCAGTGTCCAATAAATTTAAGCCCACCGAACAGATACGATCTTTACTTGCCGCTTTAGCGTGATTCGAAATATAACGGACCAGCTGTTAAAAATCAGGCCCCTTACTTCTAGATAAGACGGTCACGAACCACTTTAGACGAGCGCAGGGTAACAAAATAAAAGCTTCTGACGTTGTTACCGATAGAGCCCGTCGGTATTGACTTCCCAGCCTCGTTTCATCCACGAGATTTGAAACGTATTCCTTATGAAAATTAGTGAGTTGGTAACATTATGACAGTTGCATATTCTAAGATATTGAAATATATCATAAAAATTATCGTCATGTTCGTATCATTTGACAGGATAATCAAAATTGGATCAAACGAAGAGGAAAGTAGAGAGAACCCATGTGGTACAAGTGAGATTACTAGTATGAATTTATTCATTATTTACACAAGTTACCTGTGTACATTTGGGGTTGGGACAAGGAGGGACTATTGAGAATAATGGTAAATATCAATACATTAAAATATACATATATAGCGGTATATTACAAAGGTATTATTTACAAAGTTTACATAACTATCTATACACACATTTTACATCAGGGATACGCTATTATAAACAAAACTTTTGTACAAATATACACACGCGCATTAATTCTGTCTGCAAAAATAAATAGTAATCCTTAAGCAGGTACGTTTTATGTTTAATATTTATACGTGGTGTGTACGTGTATGTGTGTGTGTGCATGTGTAAAGGAAAATTGGGGTAATCACATAAATACATTAATCGTCTCTATGACTGGGTCATGTCAAATAAAAGGGGACAAAACTCCCCTGCCGTCCCAGAACAAAACTATCCCTAAACACAGTGTAAACTGGTTCGCTGCCGTATTATCTATTAAATCAATTCGAAAATTGACAATCCATCAGTTTCCTTGTCTGTCATCATCATCACTCTCATTCCCCATCGTCATATCCACTGTCATTACATCTATCTTAGCCTTTTCTCCTCCTCTTGTACACGCACATGCATCTTCACCTCCTCTCAACGGCCAACGCACGCACGCACATTACATCAAGTCCCACCTTCTCGTGCATGAGCTTCTCCTCTTAACGCCCATCGTCGTTACCACCATCACGATCACTATCACCAACAGCAACAGGAGCAGGAACACAACCACCACCAACTTCTCAATGATACGTTCTCTTTTTCTCAATATACCTCCACCGATTGCAGAGCCATGCGTCGCGTACATGCGCGCAAAGCGCCCGTCGTCGTCCAAGAACGGCGCAGTGGAATCGGAAAATTACCGATTTACCGCTTATACACATATACTCGGTTGTTGTCGAGACTGTTAGTGACGCAAGCGGAACGCGTTCTTACTGCGACGACTTGGTAGAATAATTTTTCCTCGTGGAGATCGTCATTCGAGTCGACGAGAGTCGCGACGAGGGGCTGAGGAGTTCGGCGATCCTTTTGCATTAGTTCATCATTGGTCCAGGTGCCATTGCAGCGCCGAGGTCCTGGAGTCGCGATGGTTGACTCATGTTTCTTGGGACGCGAGCGGGACAGCAGAGAGGAAGCCAGGGGGGCTGGGGCTAGTTTACACAGCAAGAGGTAGACCTAGGCAAGTTTTCGTCGGAAGGCAGGACGAATATCTGTCGAACTCTCTGGATGTGTCTTCTACGTCGCCATGGACAAATAGCACCTGTGGACGCTGCTACATAAATTTATACCGGTTTCTCTCTACAACCTTCTTCTTCTTCTTCTTCTTCTTCTTCTTCTTCTTCTTCTTCTCCTTACATCCTTCTCCGATGCTTCTCTCCTCTACAACCTTATTAATAAATTATACGCATCCAAGGAGGTTTGGCTTGCCTATCACGCACACGCAGCGCTCTTAGTTCACAGGCTGCCGAGTTTGTTGATTACTGAAACTGTAGAGAATGCGGCAGCGTCGCAGACTCGCTCGCTCTCTGGCTCGCTTTAACGAGTCAGAGAGGATAGAGTGATGAAGTGGGTAGGGATAGCTGCTAGCACGTACTTATTCCAATCCATTCCAATCTATTTCAACACGCCACGGCACAACTCTGCTTGCTTGTCAGCTTGTCTGCCTTCTCGGTTGCTGCTCGACTGGATAGCTTGTATGGCTGTTCGTTCAATCAGCATGGCTGTTTCAGGAATTGAATTTGTTGCCGTTCTCTTTCGAACGATACACTCGAATTTCTATTTCAACGACAACCGCATCCAAGGACGGCCATGTCCTGATAATTCTTGAGCACTACCTTGTTCTCCTCGTCAAGGTACAGCATCGATATGGAGCTCAGTGCCGTCGGTACGCAACACGCTTTCGGTACCATGCCCGGATTCGTCGAGTAAACGAGATTCTGGACGATCGCATGATTCGTCGAATTTAAATGATCCGCCAGAGGAAACGGACAATCTCCGTGGCAATAGAAGGCGTCGTATCCGGGCGGGGCCACTATCCAGTCGTTCCACCCGACGTCCGCAAAGTCCACGTAGAGCGGATGCCGTCTGCAATTCTCCCGTCCATCCTTCCGACGATTTTTCCTTAGTGCGGCTCTCCTCGCGCGCCGTTCCATTATTTCCTTCGCGGAAGCCATCTTGTTCCTACCGTCGTCTGTGTAGGTGAAGAGCATCGGCCGATTCATCGCCCAGGAGTCGCTAGATTCCTCCACGTTTCTTCTTAATCTCACGTGACCACTCTCGAGCGCTCTCGACTTTCCTGCCTCGAGACTCTCCTTGTCCTTCTTCTGCTGCTTCTTACTCGTCCTCTCGCCGTTCACGACGTGCACCAGGAGCCCATGGTTATTCGTCCTGTCCTGGATCCACCTCTCCACCGCTGGATGCACGTCCAGACTTACGGATGAATTCTTTCGGATCTCCACGACCTTACTGTCAATTAGCCGCAGGATGGGTTTGTGCCGTCCCTTGACACCAGGACGCACGATGTCGTGCACCAGGATGCGTAGATGTCTCGCCTCGTCGTCTCCGGCCGACTCCGATTTCTGCGACAGACTCAACTGCGCTGCCTGCAGGGTCTCCCCGCTGGGTATACTGCTCAAGTCGAACGACAGACGAAACCGATGTGGCGACTGGAACTTTTCGTCCAGTATGCTCTCTGAAAAATAAATAATTGACAAGCATGAATAATGACCTGTTAAATGAATCTTTCGTCAATAGGTCGTTGCACGGTTAACCGAACCGTGCTACCTATTACAATGACAGTCTAATTAACCCAGCGACAACAAAGCATAAGTGAACTACTGTAATAAAACACGCAGAATAAACGCGGTACATTAAAAACCTTTAAATCTTCATCGATTGATCATTAATAGTCAGGAATTTTGCGTACGTCGACATTAGAATTCGTCGGATCGTCTAAATATCCTTCTTGCTCGTCGAAACCTCCAAATAATATTTATGTAAAATCCATTAAAGAATTTTTTCGATAGCCGTTAACGCACACGTGTCAAAAATCTCAAGGTAATTGCAATAACGTTAATCAATCAGCAATTAATCTATCGATATCACCCGCTCGTGAACTATAGTCGAATCAGTCATGCGATCTATTGCCCATGTGAACCGATCTTTTAAATTTTCATAATACAAGCAATACCGTAGGAGCCAATATAAAGTATAGACGTAACTTCCTCTGTATCTTCGATTTAGCTATGCTTTAACCACAGCCACGGGATAACGTTTGCGCGTAACAGCAACTCATATACTTCGAGATATTTCCGAGTTATAAATAGACTCGCTGAGGCTGTTTACTAGTTTTGTGCATTAATAATCGAGCGAACGTTTATGAATCCAAGCGGGGAGCTCATATCAAGGCGCGCAGGAACCCCGCGATACGTGAAAACAATCAGCAACACCTTTCGTCTGGTACCTCGTGAAATTATTATCCTTCAAAGGCGTATCCGTTACACTCGTCTCACCCTAACGGCGTAAATCTTAAAAGGCCAGTAAAACGAATTTTTCGTCGGGGTCACTTCTCTGTCTCTCTCCTTCTTTACGTCGCTGGTAGGAACGCAGTTGCCTCGGCGAAAGCCAGAAAATAAGAAAATAAGAAACGAAACCGAGAGGCGAATTCCACGGCTGACCGAAGCAGGCTAAAAGTGTTTTTAATTCTTGAGAGGTACCATATTTCACGATAACGTTGTCTAACGGTCGAAGCACAAAGAGGGAGGCTGGAAAAAAATGCCGCTTAGAGTGACTCACGCTCCTTTTTTCTTTTTCTGCTTGCTCAACGGCCAAAAGAAACAATCACATACCTCCACGCTACCGAAGGATATTATATTGCTCCAGTTAACATTTTTACCTAAGACGAATAAGTATCTGGACCTGGGCACGATAAAGTCGGAGCTCACAATTCAAAGTTTACTAGCCTTGCGTAGCCGTGGCTATTGATTACCGTTTCAAAATATTTCATAGGAGGAATGTAAAAATTCGTTATAATTTAATCGTAAAAATCATTAAGGTGTAGAAGCAACCAAACAGCAATAATTCTATAGCCAATAATTAAAGGCTAAAGCTATGAAGAAAGTATGTAATAGTCGTACGGCTGGGAACAATGGCTTCGAGGGTGGTCCGACAGGGATAATGTCCGGATCGGATAATGGATCCTGGTTACCGTACAATTTAGTTGTAACTTATGGGTCTCCTACACCTGGGCGATTCCCATTCGCTTCTTGGGCCTGTAAAAGCCCTTACGGCATCCCTTACAGCGAGATTCCACGGTATCGACACTGGAACGCGCTACGAGCGGTAGAAGGAGGAGTAAGATGATGATGATGATGATAATAATAATGACGATGCTGATGGTGATTAGGAGTTGGTAGGAGGAGGATGCTTTCGTAGCAAGCGAATTCGGGCCAGCGATCGTAAGATCTTTTTCGGTCCATTTCGTACGTCACCAAGCAGTTTTAATCGACAAATACAAAACTGAGCCTCCTCGCACGTCGTACTCTTTTGAAAAATTTGCACTAAAAATATCGTCACTCTCAAAGATAGCCAATCGACTTGATTTTCATTGGAATCCGCCTCAATGAAGTACAATCGGTAAACACAGCGACGAAGGAACAGCGTAACGTCCAATGCTAGATTACTATTAATAGTTCAGAAAGAATAAAAAAAAATGAATGAGAACGAAAGTAAAGCAATAAATCGTAACACGAGTAACGTACCATACAAAATTGCAAGAGCTGCAACGTCATGCACCGATGCGCATCGATACTCCTGTCTTTGTGTCACCTTGAAGGCTCGACTATCAGTGAACTGCGGTCTCGAGCAAACCTTCCCGCACCCATCTTAATATAAGACACATAACCCCAATAATAAAAGTAATAATTAATTCAAGAAAATTTGCTAACCCACCGAAGCATATTCACAGAATAAGTCAATCCAAGGACGCGCCGTCGTGTATACACAGACTATCTATATTCATTACCCAACTAGCAGATCTTCAAATAGAGGTGGGTTAAGTAACGCCCAGCCAACGAACTTCACGATTATGTGCCTCGATACCTGCCACATTTACGTTCCCCTTCTGCGTGTTTCGTTACGCCACTTTATCAATAGTCAGTGCCCACTCGCACGGGGCGACACCCATCTCCGATGTCAGTCCCACTTCCTTATCAATTCCCGACCAATGGTACGAGAGGGCAAAGATCGAGCGATAAATGATCAACGTGATCCAAGGAATATTAGGCTGTCGTTAAATAAAAGAATTTTTATCAGGCGAACATAACCAACAAAAAACTGATACTAACCAACATGAGTAAAAGAGCGAACCGTGTTTGCCGACCTGGCATGTATACCCGGTCTTGCGATGTCGGCCATGCCAATGGTGTTCTGTCGTACGTAGAGCTTCTTCAGAGAGTCCGGAATGTAAGACGGGCCCTGAGGTCTAGGCCTTTTAGCAAATCCAAGCAGGGAGAGAAGACTAGCCTCCACGCCAGCGATCGCCTGTTCGCGATCCTCGAGCCCAAGGCGTTTCACCGCGTTCCCGTTCACGTTTACACTTCCGTTTGAATTAGCGTTTCCGTTAACGTGTATCCTTGCGTTTGCCTTTGCGCTCGCCAGCAGCACACCCGCTGCCGCTAACACCAATCTCAGCAGCAGCAACATGCGCATCGTGACGTCAGTCACTGGCACTGCCTCTCCTGCAACAGAAGGATTCATTTGTCATGTATTACATTTTTATTCTCTTTGTCTCTTAACGAGCTCTAAGGTAATTTAGGACCGTACCGAGTTGCACTGAAACGTAGCACGGCTTTTAATATTTAATACGCGCTGTAGCAGATGAATAAGACATTGAGTTCAATGACGACGTATTTAATCTGACAAATATTTATTGTAAGATAATAATAATGCCGGACATGCGAAAAAAAAATATATGAAGGATTTTAATATTCAATTTTTGTCCCGATTCACTTTTTCATAACGTTCCCTGAATAGATATTATTTTTCTTGTAGACCGAAGCCTAGTCGATATTTCGTCCGGGAGATTAGTCCACAGTACTATAACGACGATCGGTGCACGACGTCTCTTTTTATATGCAGTTTTTTTAAAATGAAAGCCGCAAGATCGTCGAATATATAATTGAAAACGACATTCTTATATTGACAGGCAGTTGAAAGACGGGCCTGAGGCGCCGCCTGGACGCTGCAACTTTACAGAATTGAAAATAAATGTCCGACTGCAACCAGTTTTGACAATAATGTCCATCGACTAGAATGCGAAACATTGCACTCAAAATATGTTTACGTTTACCGCTATGCGGTTGAGCTAGACGTACCCGTCGGTGCCGAAACTTCAGCCGGGTGTAAGTATTTTCATGTCTAATGAATTCTCAGGATCTTTCGTGCCTGCAATTACAACGTACAACTTCAATGTCGCATCAATTAGGTCCGAGATCATTTGCGAGTCATACACTCTCGTGGTATACAAATTACAGCAATTGAGATCGAATCGCCTTAGTTATCCTTATTGAGTAAAGTAAAATGATACGTTAGCAACCCTATCTCAATAAGCAGATACGAAGTGAATAAATATCCTTTATAAATAATTCAATATATTTGTACAGCAGTAACCCGCCTTAGGCGATGCTTGAAATAGGCATTAATGCAACTGCGAGTCTGACGTGTCGGCTCAATGAAAAATTACAGATTCAAAATTTCCAATTGAATTACAAAGAAACGTACGACTCCATTCGTATTTATAGTCTGGCCATTCTTTCGTGATGGCACGACTCTCTAGCGGCCATATTGCTGCGAAGAGTAAGCAAGCCTCGCCGCGGAGAAGCTGGCGACGGAGGATAGAACAAGCATAAGGAAGGAAAGAGAGGGATCAGTGGGTGGCGGAGAGGGCGGAGGCGACTATAGACAGTGAGCAGCGTCATACTTTCTACCTTTCTCTGTGCTGCCGCGAGTGTCTTTTGATTTTTCGTAAAGAACCAGGCGAGAGCATCTGACTGCAAGCCGTTTGAAATCCTCCGATGTAAAGAAGTTCATTCAAGAAAATTACCAATAACACGGTATTACAGCACGAGTCAATATTCTGAAGTATTGACAAAGAAGGGAAAAAAGTATGTTGAAAAAGAAGAGGAAAATCAGGGTCCAACGATTCTATGGATGAGTGTGTAGCACGGATATCGCCAGGAACACGACGAACACGCATACAAATACCATGCGAAGACGGATACGACGTTCGAAGTGGAATTCGTGTCGGAGTCAGAAAGGCTGAGACGAAGAGGCGGCGCTGGCTAGAGCCAAGCTGTCTGCTGTCGACCATTGTAATCTGCTCGGCGGATCTCGAGCCGCCAGTGAAGCTGGCCTCTGACCGAGACGCACAATACCGAGGATATGTTCATTCAGTGGCCCTCATCAGTTTCGTGACCTATATGACAGACATGCGTTCCTAGTGCTTAACAATGATTAGACGAATAACATGAAAGGAAAATTCACATTGTTATTCGATTGATGAATGAATACAATGGAACAACGGGCCTGAAAAAGGCCTAAAACCTTGTAATGGTTTTTAAGGCGTAATAAGAAACCATGTTTTACTGCTTTTGATGAGCAAGACGATGATACCTAGTAGCACTGATGCTCTAGTAGTCGAGAAAGGGAGACTGGAAGGAAAGGCTGTTAAAAATCCTAGTAGGTAGGTAGGTAGACCAAGGGACAAGGGTAGACGGATAACACCTTGGTATTTATTTAGGTAGTCCACTATGTTCAGCTAGGACAGTAGAATTCACCTGACATCTTGGATGTAATCCTCGAGGAGGAGACCGCCCACGTATGTTCGTGATCCGCATATTCTGATCCACCTACTTAAATATCAATCGTTTCCGGATTAAGAAGTTGTCCCTTGTCAATTTTTGAGATTCCCTTAATATGGTATCGTGAAAAGCAGTTATCAAACGTTACTTAGGATTCAAGTTACCCTTATCGGTAGATCCAATTGCTTATGACATGATTTATGATCAAAGTCAGCGTTCTAGATAAAGATTGCTAGACAACAATGTTCCTCTCCAACGTAAATGTTAGTCGGTAATGAAACTGAAGATGCGTTAACTTTAATTTGCATGGGTGCAGTGCTAGACACAGGAATGCAGTGCAAAAACACAAGGATAAGGTCGTCGGAATCTGTCGTCGTATGAGGTACATGAAGAAGGCACGTCATCATCGAAAATAATCGGACCAGCTAAGATAAGAGACAAGCAGACAGACAGACAGAGAACCATACAGGCACCCAGGAAAGCAAAGCCAGGATGTGTTGGTTACAGGTTGGGAGGTAAGGTAAGTTGAGTTGAGTTGAGTTTAGTCGAACCGAGTCGAGTCGAGTCGAGTCGAGAGCTGCGGAGATACACGAGACACGTAGAGAGTCCGCCCGATGTAGCTGGAAGAGGTGGTAGTATCGTAGGATGAGGTGGGAGATTGAATCCCGTGCTTTGCACCGTCGTCGATTCATAGCTAATGTAAGCGTAAGAGAAGGCATAAGATTCAAGTTTTAGCTCACCTAGCTAGCCGAGAGTCCGAAGATTGAACAGCCACGGCATCTCAGCGAGTCCATGCACTACGGAATCTCACTGTTACCACTTGGCACCACCACTCACCATTCACAACGCAAAACGGGATGGCACTTGTATAAAATAAAGAGGAAAAAAAGGAGGCAGAATTCCTCAGCTTCCACGGTCCTCTATTTCTCTCGCAACCCGACTCACTCTTCTTCGCTACTCTGTCTTATTCTCACTCACTCGTTTTTCAATCTTCTCTCTACCCATATATGTTGTCTCTCCCACTTTTTAACTAACTTCTCTTATTCTCTCTTTAATTTTTGTTGAACGACCTTCTTTATGTATACTTTTCCTGAGTAACTTCCGCTCAGGACTCCGGAACCCGGATAAAACTTGAAAAAACCAGTAGAGTTCTTCTCTACGAACGCATCGCATACACTAAAGTACTTTAGTATCGTATAAAAGCACTTTGAATTTGCATTTGCGTCTCCACTTTAGTCGTATATCCGACTATCCACTCGCGTTTATATAAATAGACCGGTAAGCCGATCCGATACGGAATCCGGCCAGGCCAGGTTTCACACCGATACGCACCGTATGTGACAGACAGCACTTGGCTCACTCGTGATGATCAGATCGAAGCGTCGTGCTCAATGGTTTGACCGTCACTGCGCTCCGCGAGCAGACGAATCTACGAACGCACGAACCAACGGACGTTTATCCCTAAGCCGGGCTCGAGTACGACTGAGTGCGACTACCGACTGCACAGCGAACGAGCGAGAGAACAAGTTCCTTGTGTATAACCAGGACCGATCCCAACGATCCTCCCCACCGGACAGCCAGCCGATCCGCACGATCCACAATCCAGTCGTAGAGGTTTGGGCAGGGCCGCTTCGAACATGGCTCGGGCCCCGGGCCACAAACCCATTTTGCAGACCACCCTAAAACTATCTCTGCATGCTCCTCCACTCTTCTGGCTTACTTTTTCTTTGCTATTACGGTTCTTTGCTAATTCCTTCTTCTTTTTCTATTTATTCTTTGCAAACACTACTACGATACTCTTTTTTCTTCCATTTTACACCCATCAGCTCTATCTTTCTTCTTGCACTCTTAAGAATTAATTAAGTTAAGAATCTATCCATAGATCTATAGGATAACACTGTAGATCCTATGAGATGATATGAAATTCATGGATGGATCTAAAATGATTTTTCAACTTATTACCTAATCTTAAAACTTGCAAGTGTATTACTTGTTATTACTTCAATCTCCCTTGCATACTTCGCATTCACGTGTCGTAATTGTAAATACACCTGTGACAACGCTCGAGACTTCTTTGTGCAGATGGCGCTGCCTGCTAAATTGGACAAGAATTATTGCATGACCATCTGACAATCATTTATAAGATTTAAGATATTTTATAGAATCTCACTCAGGGTGGACATCATTTCCAATGATCTTTGTAATACAGGAAACTGTAGGAACTCCGAAGTCATTTTATAATTGACCAAAAAATATCCATAAGTACATCTACATACAACACACTTTATATTCTCATTATACTAATTCTTAATGACAGCCAAATCTAATGAATCTTCATTCTAATGATTTTTGCCACGATCTACGAATACTTAGTCTGAAAGCTTTAGCTCAAGCAGAGATCAAGATCTCAAATGCTGAAATTTCCTTGACAGTAGAATGGCGTAATTCTTCCTTATCTGCTGAATCCCGCTGCGAAGTTCAGTGAAAGAATACCGCGAGGATGCCGAACCTTTACTGGTTTCGACATGAAGGACTCGGCCTACCGCGAAGCTCAAAGTGGAGGATGAATTTTAGAAATGCGGCTGCCTTATCATTTTGCCGGTCCCGAGAAGTTTCTCTTCGGTGCACAAAGGCACTCCCGAAGATTATAGACGGGCACGAAAGGAGCCGCAAAAATCCGTATGCGTTTCTGAGTTGACTCTCGGCAGAAAGAGTGCCGCTCCGGAATATTTATGGGGTTCCGAATTGGACCACCCGGTAATTAAAACGACCCTGAAGTTAGGGCGGGGCACCAACTGGCACGATATCCTCACGGTCATTTCTTCCAATCCCTTTCTGCCCTCTCGACACTCCTTACCAACCTTTACGCCACACCGGTCCTACGGAACCTCCTCTCAGCTTGATGAAATCCTTATGACGTCCCCCACAGAGTTAACAGAATTATCCAAATTCGATTTTTGGTAATTCGTATAAATTCACCAATGACGCAATACCAATGGATATTTTCAACTGCGTATAATGCAATCTAAGAATTAAGATTTTCTGCGAATCTCATACCGGTATATATAAATCAGTGCCTGAAAAATAGCAAATGTTAGCTCAATATTTGAATAATATGCATGAGTGCACACAATTCACACCTTCACGGCGACTGTTATGCCATGTTGTGCTAGAGGAAATTATTGTGAAATTCGTATTTGCACAGCAGGATCCTAAGAAATCGCTGAGAAATGGCCCAGCACGTTGTTTCCATTTAGCAGCAGAAAATCCAAGAAATCGTTACGATCACAGGAGACAAATGTATTCGCGGATTTTAAAGTCTCTCAGATAGAGTTCCTGGTAGAATCGAAAGCCCAGAGAAACTGGACAGTTCGATACTGTCCGTATCGTATTTATATAGCCGGTTTCACCACGTAAATATATTATTTTACGAGGACGACAATGCGTTTCTCCATTTGCAGTGCTATCCACTATCGAAATGCGAATCTTCATCCTTTTTCTCTATACCACCAACGGACCTCTATTATTTCTTGAACGCGATATCCGGTCACGTAGGCATGCCTTGTCGTGCCACTTTATAAGAGGCGCGTAAGCAATATATAAAACCATGTGTATACGATATTCAGTGCTTTACGTATAATCTGCTTATATACAAGCAATTCCTCTAAGAGAGAATTTCAGTTCCAGAAACCAAATCATCATAAAGTTCCTCTTACATTGCGTGTTAGGCATTACGTAAATCTTCACGAGAAACAAAAATAAATCACTTGACTTGTGATCTATGAAAAAAATATCTATATACTTTTAACAATAATTCACCTACTCTCTAAATATACAGAAATTGTCATTCGCTTAACGAAATGTCGAAAGTCTAGAATTCGACGTCCCAGTATGCATGACGCCAGTAATAGTTACGGAAATAGATATTCACGAATTTCACGAAGAGTCAGCGTCACGTTGAGAAAGAAACGATAAATGTCAGAACCTGAGGTATACACTGTGCTCTATAGTAAAGCACATATAAGCCTTGGCGTGGGTATATTATAATGTATTCTCACTTTTATACGCCATAACCAGATGTGATAATTCATGAAGTAGAAACGCGAGAATACCATCGCATGTCTTAAGCGTCAATGCCGAAATTCAAATTATCACTGTTTAAGCGGTTACACATACATTAATGTCAATATGGTCGTCAATCTTTGTTCATACCGAAGGTCATTCCATCAAGACTTACGTAGGTTCTTCCAAGAAATCTCTAGTCCGATTAAGCAGCCTCACAGGCCGGAAATGGTTTAAACGTTGAATTAGCAAGTGGGAAGTGGGAATTGGGCAGACAGCATGGCGCGCACTGTTCCCAACGGGCAGCTGGCATGCCTAAAGCTGATCTCATAGAGACCTCGCTTCTTCGTCTCATCATCCTCCTGCTACTAAAAGTACAATAATATATCAAGACGCCATTGATTTCTCAAACGATACCACAGCAGCAACGATTTCACGGTCACGATCCAGCAGATTCTGATCGGTATCCATGGAATTCTCTGAGGAATTTTTCATGGGTCTTCCCAGGGATGTTAAACGTGCTTCGGTGCTTTTATATACAGGGTGTTCCGAAATTACCTGAGCAACGGGGTATGGCGGTGTTCGGGAGGCACCACTGATCACGAAAATGACCTTCCTTTTCTCCGGAAGGTCATAGTTTTTAAATGGGAGCAAGTCAAAGTTGGCTTGTTTCTTGTTTCCAATAGACATGTCTTGGGCTGACGTCATCCTGCCCGAAGCCACCGAGAAACAAAAGCGAGGGAAGAAAACTCAGAGTTCGTAGGTGGCTACGTTTCTCTTGACGCCTCCCTCTGATTGGTCAACTTTGACCTGCTCCCATTTAAAAACTATGACCATCCGGAGAAAAGGAAGGTCATTTTCGTGATCAGTGGTGCCTCCCGAACACCGCCATACCCCGTTGCTCAGGTAATTTCGGAACACCCTGTATATAAAAGCACCGAAGCACGTTTAACATCCCTGGGAAGACCCATGAAAAATTCCTCAGAGAATTCCATGTATTTCGGAACACCCTGTATATGGCGTTGCTTCCCTCACTACGTTGCATTGGACAGACTCATCGCAAATCACAGTTAGAAAGCATCTTTTCTCATATGTATGCTGGACGTACAACGAGACGATCGTAAGGAGGCAATGCAGCTGCGGACACGCGTTCCTTGGCATTCTAGCATCTGGTGAGAAAAGCCAGAAAGCCACCTGTTCGCCGTCTCGTCAGGCAGCTGGGCTGCGAAGCAGGCTTTCGAGTAAACAGGGAGATATGTGGGGATCCGCCGCTCACCGTCTTTCGGTGTGAACACACCCTTCTGCTCCACAGATGCTTATCGATGATATTTCTTACTGGCGAACGAACTGATCGATTAGCCTTTGAAAACTTCCCACGTGGCAATACGTAATACCTTTTCATTTTGATCCTTATGTCAGAACTTCGATTAGGCAATACTTCTTCATCGTTGATACTCGTATGAAATGGGGTGAACTTTCTGTCCAGTTTCTAATAACAGACTGCGACGTTTTTCATACTTCTCCACTGTAAAGTATTGTCAAATGATATTTAAAGAGCGGAAGGTACGACAGCTGTCAAAATTAACTATCGTAGTTCAATGCTATATAGCATATAAAACAACCAATCCCAAAATTCCTATTACTAAATCTTAACGAGCCAATTAACATCTCTTGGAATCAATGACCACAGTAATAAAAGTTCCCTAAGTAATTACTTCACCAGAAATACCATTGTTATGTGATTCCCTTAAAGAATTCTCCATTGCCGTCTAACGTTCCCTCAATAAACCCTGTAATATTACCATCTACCTAAGGGATACCAGTATATATTATTACTATTGTGTTAACAAAAGATACAAGTGTATACTTACTATGCATAAGCACGTACAACATAAAATAAGACACGTATCGTGGAATGGATTTTTCTTGCTGGGATGCGTGGTCTCCGCTTGTAAGCGTTGACCTAAAAGTATTCCAGCTGGTCGTTGGGAGGTATGTATATGGCCGCAGGGAATGTATTATCGCAAGAGAAGGCAGCCAAGGCAGTCAGGCAGCCAAGTAAACGGACAAACAAGTAAGCAACAGAGCAGTAACCAAGCAAGCACAGCTACCATCCAAGCGAGGTGCATTGAGTGTTGGTGCACTGGCTGCTGCTGGTGCTGCTGGTTGGCTCTATTCTTTCGTTCAGCTTGGCAGACAGCGCGACGCCCGTTCTCTGCCTTCTGTGTCTCCAACCAGCCATGCCGTATGTGGATGATTGCTTCGAGTACTTACGAACTTGCTGTTTCTTCTACACGCATCGTTATGTCTGGCGATACGACTATGTCCGCTAGTCAAGAGAGTATTTAATTTGTGGGAATTTATTATGTAACCTTTGAAAAATATGAATGTTGCATTTTTTCAAATTACGTGTATGATGAATTATGTCGAAATTTTGTTAATCAAATGAAATACTTTATGTTTTGTGGAACAGTAGTATAACCGACAGAGGTATAATTACTGTAAGAGGATTTCCTGTAATCGTATTTGGCCTTTTCTTCTATAATGGATTAGTGAGTTTGCTAATTAGTGGAAATCGATGAAATAGATAGGGACTAAATGTTGAAATTATTTTATGGTCTTTGCCTTTATTTTGTCATTAACAGCGTGAGAGTATATAAATTTAGACCATAGTTTTTGGGAATACGGTATCGAGAAGGTTTGGTTTGTTGACTTTTCCCATGTTATTTTTGGGAATTTTATCCACTATCTTCAACACGGTGGGAGTAGCATACTCGGGTAAAGATTTTTTTGAATATTCCCGTAACTGGGATAATATCAATTCGGATCCTTCCTTCACTACAACGATCGCTGCGACCTGTAAAAATTAAGTGATTTGTTTGTTATATAAACTTAAATTTTACATATTGCAATTTCACCTGAATATTTTATACCTTTTGTCCCCAAGTGATATCAGGTAGACCAACGACTGCGCAATCCTGAACGTTAGGATGTCCAAGAATCACTGTCTCCACGTCTAGGGCGCTGACTTTGTACCCGCCAGTTTTAATAATGTCCACAGAACTGCGACCGAGAATTTTATACACACCATTGTTATACTGCACGGTGTCACCTAAAATATTGAACGTTGTCAAGCAATATAATTTAGGTTTAGATAAGTGGCATGGGTCATATGATTATGTTCGTAGAATAACACGAAAATAAAAAAAAATATTGATTCCATACATAAATTTATTAATAAAATTTACCAGTTTTGAACCATCCGTCGCTAGTAAATTCTTTTGCGGTGGCTCCAGGATTGTTCCAGTACTTTTTGAAAACATTGTCACCTTTTACTTCCAAATCCCCGGCGATTGGTTCTTTCTCATTGACTAGTTTTCGTGACTCTTTAACATTCCCTTGCACAAGAACTTTTGGTTCCAAACTACCATGTTCGGTTCTTGTGATTCGCACTTGTACGCCAGGAAGCGGAGTGCCGACGGTGCCTGTAAAATCATTCTGCTATCAGTATTTATCCTGTAGAGAATTATTTTACGTAGGGAAGCAAATTATATGGCCATAAGAGTATTCAATATGATCGTTTTATTTTGATATTATAGATAGACGCGAAATTTGCACCTGGAACACGTTGACCTTCAAGAGGATTGGAGAGCATCATACCGGTTTCGCTCATGCCATACCTTTCCAATAGACGATGTCCAGTTATTTCCTCCCATCTATCGAAAATAGGCTTAGGAAGAGGCGCAGATCCACTGATCATTAACCTGAGGATAAATTAATTCTTATGTTATAATGAATTTCTATTAGGATGCCTTCAAAACTGTATAAATAAGTTAAGGATAATAACCTGATCTTAGTGCTACATACTGCATGTATATATTCCTTCATTTTAGCATTCTTATTAAACAGTTGATCGTATTCTTGAATAAGTTTCATGTAACTTGTTGGAACAGCCATGTACATATTCACTCTTTCTGTGTTTTGCGTATTTACCGCTAGCAGCTGACCCCAAACACTAGACGTCTCGAATTTTTGTAACATGACACAGCGTGCTCCAACGTACAATGGACACAAAAGGGCATTTACAATACCATGTATATGATGCAGCGGTAAAGTGTGCAGAAGGGTATCCTTCTCTGTCCATTTCCATGCAGATACTAGTGCATTTATTTGTGATTGCAAGTTTCGATGACTGAGTACCACTCCTTTATCAATGAACATTGTTGTATTTTAGTTGTACGCATAAAAAGTGCAATATCAGAAATATAATATTTCTTTATGAAAATTTTGTTCAATATATATTGTATAAGAATATCAGTTATATGGCTTTATTCTAATTGCAAGCATACCTTTAGGTTTTCCTGTTGTACCAGAAGTATAGATGAACAGGGCATCACTTTTATTATAAAAATCGCCCTTTATCCCAGCATCTAGAGTATTCTCTACATCATATTCAGTAGTGCTCTTATTGTTAGCAGTTTTTCCAGCTTTCATAGCAAGAATGCGGAGAGCATCGTCAAGCACTATTAAGCGTCGGTTTGTCTTTGCCACAATAGGTTCTAGTAAGGGTAAATGCTCTGTGGTAGTAACAATAATTCGTGCATCAGAATCTTTAATATAATAATCAAGAATTGGAGTTGGATGTAAAGAACTTAGTGGTACAGCTGAAACGAAAGGATGTATTAAACATATGGGAAACGTAATTTCTAAAGATCAGTTACATTAATATTATAGACAATATAATTTCTGTTTCACCAATTTGACCACTCATCCAGCATGCCCATTGTGTTATAACATAATTTGCATCATTTGGTACTAAGAATGCTACTCTCTCCTGACGTGAATCTCCAAGTATCTCTGACAACTGAGTAGCAAATTGTCGTGAGCTAAGAAACAAGCCACGGTAGGTGTAATCACCATGTGCATCACGCAGCGCTGTTCTATCACCAAAGCGTACTGCATTTTTAAATACTGGTACCACCTCATTTGAAGTCTACAATAATAATACACTTTACATATGTAATTGTAAATAAGGCTTGGCTGGAATTTTACATGAATAAAGCCATACAGAATCTTACTTGCTGAATGTCACTAGCTGAATTTAAAGCAGCATATGATTGCTGCTGCCGAGCAAATAGAACAACATGATTACGAGCTGCTGAACCTGCAGCAATGCGTAATCTATGAGCCAAAAAGGAACTCATTTTAGTTGGTGTGTGTTACTTCCTTAAATGTTGTTACTGCTGCTGAAATTCAATATGATACTAACCTCATACACAGTCTTCGTGCTATATTAACCTAATATATAATCATCTTCATAAAAAAAAAATAATTTCGTAAATTTCTTAATAAAACATGTATTGATACATTAAAACCGATTCGAAAAAGAATGTTAAAAAAAATGTATACACAACCTGCAAAATGTGCCATCTATGAGCTATTACATTACGTCATTACTCAAAAAATTGTCCATAATTATAAATACATGCGAACGACAATATCAGATTGGACGAATCTAAGATAAACTTACCAAACATATTTGATATTTATAATTCCTTTAGACGATCGTCTGTAGCAAGATTCTAACTAAAGAAACGAAGTCTCCTCGCCCCTAGACACTTTTCAAATCAGATGACAGCGCAGTAGTTTTAAAGTGGAGCCGTAATAAATTTATCAGGATGACACTACGTTTAAACGACCCGCTAATATATTAGGATTATTGCGTCATACTCTTTTTTTGTGTATAGAAAAGTTAATTGAACTGCTTCTTTTGACAGTACAGAATTGAAGATCATGCAATCGGTGATCTATTCACAAAATATTCTCGCTAGGACCATTATACTCCATAGATATGCAACGATCTTTCGGTACTTTCTGAGTATACAAGAAAAATTGCACACTTGCCAATATTCCTAGCCAGTCACGAGGAATCTTGTGATTGACTCTTGACTATTTTTAACAGATGCGTAGAACAAATTTCGTGACGTTAATGGACTTCGTTTTTTTGCTATGAAGATACGATAAACAGAAATTATAAACACTAAACATTTGCATGTAATGTATTTGCAACATTTTGACAAATGTATAGTTTTGTGGCAAAGTTTAATCACGTATTTTTTTTATCCTAACGTATTAAAAAACCAAACAGAGTCTGTACTTGTACTTTAAGTCTATCTTACACTGCTGAACTTTGGCAAGTCCAGAATAACGATTGACTTCTAGATAACTAGATGGCGGCTTCGTTTGCCATGACAGTTTACGTTTACGTTAAGGTTTACAAGAATCGACGAATTCTAGAAGTTCCAAAGTTTCAGATCGTTTTAGATCCTCTGCAAATTTGTTTACAGGAAAAGAAGCGATGAATGTATAAGAATAATCTGAATTAATGTGAAAGATCTTTTGAGAATATCGAAATGGATGAGGATTCGCGTACTTTATGGTGTGGAAATCTTAGTGATAGAGTGACGGAGGAAATTTTGTATGAACTATTTCTACAGGTAAGCATTGTTTTGGTTTAAAAACACCAAAAATTAATTAGCATAGCATTAGACGTCTGATTTGAATGTGTAGTAAATAAGTGATGTAAATTTATTATAATTGTGTTACAGATAGAAACGTTATAGTAGCTATTAATTTATGTGTTGCAGGGTGGCCCAATACAAAAGGTGTCAATACCCAAGGATCGTAATGGAAAACAAAGAACGTATGGCTTTGTGACATTTAAACATATTGATTCAGTAGCATATGCATTAGATCTTTTTGATGGTACAACATTATTCGATCGCACACTAAGTATGAAGAAAAGAAATACCACTGAAATGGCTCCAGTGCATACACAATCGCAAGAGCAGGCTCATAATCATTTGCTTCAGTTAGGAAATCAAATGTTATTAGGAAACCTTATGCAGGACTTGAGAATGCAAATGTATAATGTATATGTGCCTCCAGGCATAATGTCATATCCTAGTCAGATGAATACTTATCCAGGTAGTGACGATAGGAGATCACAAAGACCGTATCCATATCAACGAGAGTATGAACAGGACAGACATTCTCATAATCGAAGTCATAGGTCTCACAGAGATAGGCAGCCTTCTGACAGGGGAAGTAATTACTTTAGGCACAATAATAATTCCAGAAGGGATGGTCGAAATTAAAACTGTTTTCAGTTTATAAAAGCTATAAGCATAAGAAATTATTTTGTAAAAATCAACAGACAATGCAGGCTGAAATATATTTTTAATCTAAGTATAGTGTATTTGAAAAATTAATTTCAAATTATTGATATTACAAATAAATAATTTGAATGAATCTCTTATATTTATCAGTATTTTCTTTGTATCTCAATTTTGTCAAGTAATATCATAGTAATCGTTGAAACGTACATACAAGCTTTATAATAAATTTATAGTATATTATTATATTATTTGAAATTTCAAAAACAAAATATAAAAAAGAATATAATCAATAGAAGTTATTTCCGCGTGAGATCTAATGTCACAAAACATTGGGCAACTTGGTTCACAAATAAATAGTTTTCCCCACAGATCATACTGCTCATGGTAGTTGATACTATGGAGACTTATACTTTTTTGCAATTCACATATACTAAACGATTCTCTTTGATTAATAAATTTAATTACGTGCACGCGATTAATCCCAAGATTTCTCGCTACAATACCAGTGGTAAATACATCCTCTAACTTTAAAAAAGTCGTTTTCAGTGATTCTATATATAGATTATGTATGATATCACTGGATATTAAATACGCAGGGCCTATTAAGAAAGGTGGAAACACAGGCTGTTTGTAATTTACCAATGAAACATAATATTTACTGTCTTTATCACGATGAGGTATAGTGTTATCAGACCGCCTACCAAATATAACATTCCTAAACTGCGCATAAACTCTAACAAATGTCAGTAGCCTAGGCATGTTGATAAAGACATCATCATCTGCCTTTAATACAAATTGTACTTGTGCACAATATCTGTCTACCCATTCTAAAATTGAAACTGTCTTCAATGTTAAATTTGTATAGGTATCCAGAAAGTTACCACGTACAATGTCGGCAAATACTTCTTGCTCATGTTTGAGTTTTCTTTCTAAATAAATGTCGGTTGTTATACCTAACATAAATAATACACTGACATCTTTACGGTGTCCAAAAAGACCCCATGTTTCTCTGATAGCTTTTCTGGCAGTATAATGTATTGGATCTGATAAAATTATTACCACTAATTTCATGCGTTTACCGAACTCCGGACATTTTTCTGGAATGGAAACAGAATGTCCTGGACTGTAAATGTTACGGATTAACATATTATTTTGAGAGAGTTTTGTATTATCTACATTTACTATGCTCATTAGACGTTTCCTAGAACTTTGGGTTATAAAAAATGAATCCGTCGCATTGCGAAAAGAATGATCAATTATCAACACTGGATCCTGTCGAATGTTTTCAGTTTCCTCTTTAAATTGTTTATCGTTACTCGAAAAGTACTTATTTTCTTGTGGTATTATGGTTTTTCCAATTCTTTCGGCATTTACAGTCTGATTGTAATAAGTCGCACAAGAAAGTATTCCAAATATCTGTAGCCAGCAAAACAAGAAGCCAAAGGCAGTGGTTGATTTCGCTTGCATGTCTCTTCAACACACAGTAATCTTCTAGACATTTTCTTTATGTCATCTGCAACGATGAGGTAGAGATTTTCCACTTTAAAGATATATTAAAAATCTAGTAATCGCATATAATGCCACATGCATTCATGCATAATATGGAGTCACAATTACTTTTGAAGGTAATCGCGTTGTCCTTTGGCTTCCTGGAAATCCCATTTTTTCAACATGTCGAAAAATCATCCCCAGTCGTTTGAAATGGCAATTTGTATCACATATGCTTTGGAACATCACAGGAAAAATTGGTTACAAAAAAAGCGATCTTCATACAAATTTTCTGTGACTTGATCTTGTCTGCATTATCGTTTATTAGATCGAATTCGAAAAACTTCAATTTTGTAACAAACTTTTGACACTTGGTGTCGAAGATATTTATTTTTATTCTTTATTAGTAAACGCGAAGCTTTTTCTGCAAGCGCAACGACCGCTGCATTTATATTTGCACTAGGAAGTTTTGGGAGAACTGACGCATCTACCACGTAAAGATTTTCTGTTCCATGTACCCTGTAGTCAGTTATTGAAATAAATTGTTCTTTAGTACATCATTTTATGTAAAACTTAAATAAGCCTTACCTAAATGACTCATCAACAACGCTCCCCATTCGACATGTTCCCGCAGGATGATAAGATGTTAAAGTTAAATGACGTATATAACACTCCCAATATTCGTTACTGTTAAAAATTTCATCCTCACAACCAGGAAAATTCTTTTTATACAAAGAGGCACCGAGTGTTTTCATTGCTTTGGTACTAATAAGTCTTTCAACAAATTTGAGACCTGTGAAATTAATTATTGTATATATCATCAAAATTATATATGGAGTAACTAAATAATTACCACTAATAAGAGTTTGCACATCTTCCTGCTCGCTCAAATAATTTGGATCGATAATAGGATCATCATAAGGATCATTACTGCGTAGTTTTATGTTCCCTGTACTCTTTGGATGTAACAAAACTGGCGCCACTGTTACTGCAGTTTTATATGCAAGTGGAGCAAAATATTCCTGGAAAATCTGCAACAAATATTGTTACTTATCACCATTTCGTTTAACAGGGAAACGTGAAGATCAGAAAGAATTAAAACCTTATCAGAAATTCCCATTGCTTTTCTTAGTGCAATACCATAGTCTTGTGACACACCTATGGGCATTACCATTAACTGCAAGTTTGGTAATACAGTATTATTCAAATGAAATGGTTCATTAAATGTACCCACAACTTCAATTCCAGCTGATGTCCATGGTCCTATGTTTAAAATAGATATAGATGATATAAATTGTATTTATCATGAGGCCTATACTTTTAGAAATTAAATTAATTAATTGTATACCTTTCCCATAGAGAAAATAGTTTAGTGCAGAAATAGGATTTAATGCATTAACCAGACTGAGAGACAAACTTGTTTCAAGTGTGACTAAGTCAATACCAGTAAGTATATGATCCATTAAATTTTCACCCACTGGTAGATCACTGATTATTTGAATCTGATACAGATACCAAAAAATGTCTCATATGCATATAAAGTAAACAATTAAAATGGATGCTATTGTTGAGCAATGTTACTTTCAAGTCTTGAAGATGGTCTTTAGGTCCAATACCAGATAACATTAGCAATTTTGGACTGCCAATTGCCCCAGCACTAATGATGATACCTTTTTTTGCTAATGATTGAAGTGGTGTGTGGAATTTGACGAACTCTACTCCTGCTGCTTTATTTGATTTAAACAATACCTTAAAAATAACGTTTTGGTATAAACAGAACTATCAAAATGGCACAACAATAATTTACTCAGGTGTATTTGAAAATTTACCTTAGTAACATGCGCGTTAGTGATAACTGTTAAAGTTGATAAATGTTTTGTATGCAGAATCTGATCCGAACTCCACCTTTCCCCATTTTTCATAGTCAATTGTACTTTCATAAAACCTACAAACATATACTATTAAACATAATGAACATAAGGATGATAGAAAAAACCAGGTCAATAATAATTACCTGTTCTCAGTTCTTTATTTATATTTCTAATACTGTGGCCCATTTCGGTAATCCCTTTGAGCACTGCAGTGGAAAGTTCTGTAGGCCATAGTATCTCCTTTACGTGTAATGATCCATTTTTTTCAATAATTGGTTCTAATATCATAAGCGGGAAATTGTTAATGATGATTTTATATACTATGTTTTATATGAAATAGATTTGTACCTATAAAATCAGGAAACCAATCTGCATAGTCTTCCGCATGGCCACAAACATAAGCCATATAATTTAATCTACTCGACCCTCCAAGTATTTTCCCTGCAGGCCATACACTTTGCTGTAAATGAAATAATTATTGCATACAAAAATATGGGGTTTTCCTTTAAACGGACATACATTATTTATTAATCCTTTGCATGAATGATGCTGTGGCACTGTACTGTATTGCCAATCGTATACAGATTGTTGAAATAATGGTGATAAAATAGGAATATTGAAGAATGCTGGTGGAGTTCCACCTGCTTCTATCAGCAAAGTTTTATATTTGGCATTAGCAAGCTTTGCTGCGAGTACAGAACCTGCACTGCCAGCTCCTACTGTAAAAATGAAAGTTAACTTTCACATTTCAAATTTTGTCAAAATAAGTATGTTTGACAGCAAAGATAATTACCCACAATATAGTCATAAACTTGGTCATTTTGAATGGTTTTAAATAACCAATCTCTACATTGTTCAATAATCAAAGCAAGTTGAAGATAATATACAAATGTAAAAGCTGCTACACCATACACTGTGAATGCAGCATATTTCAAGAAATACATTATTATATGTTTAACTTATAGAAATATAATGAGCGTATTGTTATCCATGATTGTCTTAATCACGGTCTCAGACCGTGGTCTTAATTACGTGTAACTCCAAATAACTACAATGGAATGATTCACATAACTTCATATTGTATAAAATAAAAATAGGTTATCTAAATCGTTTGACTGAGCCAGGTCGGCTAGGACTGAATTAGTATTGCCTGGTATTGCCTCATATGGATGGGCTGTATTCCTTTAATACAACTCAAATAATTCATAAAAATAGGAAAATTTATAGTTCGTCATATAAAATTATGTGAAAGAAAAATTGCTTGTATTATATCTATTATTACATTTTTAAATACAATTTATTTTAATTAAGTTAACAAACGTATATACATATACTTTTCATATTTTTCCTTATAATTATTCGATTAAAAAACTTGAATAAAAAAATTATGACTATTATATAAAAACGATTCATTTCATTAACAACTTATATAGGAATAAAAACTTTTCAGACAATTATAGATGAGTAACTTTAATAATAATATGCATTTTGTAACTCAAGTTTTCGAATGTAAAATTAACTTATAAGACAATCTGGTGATTTATTCCATAGATTTATTTGAGTAGATCATCTTGTGAATGTAGTCAAACACAGAGATTCCTAGACTATTTAAAATTCTAGCTTTTCCTCTGCATTGAATTCTTGTTCAAAATTTTGAAAATCGGATGTCATTTTAGATTCTGACTCAGCTTTTTCATTCTTATTAGTGTCTTGTAAAGTGGTATCATCTTTCGTATTTGGCGTAGAAACATGTGTTTCATTTGATTCTGTTTTTTTCTTCAGTTGACCAGCAAGAGTCAGATACGATGCGGGAACAAGTCCAACGTTTATACTATCAGTCACTCTCCACCAGCCAGGAGAATCCCTTGGTTGTAGAGATTTTGGAGCTACCCATACTTTTTTACCACATTTCAAATTAAGTTCATCATTGGATGAGGCATTAAAATCGTACGAGGCTATTGCAGTGTATATTGGCTCATTGCATTGCATCCATTCATTTGGATTATTAGCTATAACAAAAATCTGTTTAATGTATGAAACAGAGGCAACAAATTCTTCTTTTAGAACTGAAACACTTACGATTAATTTTAGTTTGTTGTGATTTATTTACTAGTTTATGAATTAGATAAGGAATAGCAAATAAGAGACTAAGAAACATAAAAATTGGCCAATTAGAAGGTCCTGTCCTCTCCCCATTGATTACTTCTAGTGCAGTCTTTTGCCACACAACTTCGATATTCGGATCATTTGCGCGTAAACCTTCAACATCACAACAGTACATTAATGAGTTAATAATGATCAAACTTACTTAGTTCTAAAAATAATCTTGCTATAAGTAAAATACATGTTACTCACCTAGCGAATACATGATCTTCCACCATAACCATTTCATAAAGCGTATCAATGCAAATACGCTAAGAAACTGACCAAAGCTTGAGCGTAATTTTCCTATATTATCAGCCACACTTAATATCGCTCTAAACGAACTTGTCATAGCAAAAAACGTTGATTCTAACATCATGGTAACAGAGGAGAATGTAGAGATCATAGTTTCTATTGAATGAAATGCTGGACGGGTACTCTCCTCAGCAAACTGAACAAACCTAAATGAAAGTCACAAATAAATTTAACACCAGAAACTCAATCAAATTTCAAACAATACCAATTATATTGGTTAAATTGCAAGATAAGTAAAAAACTTTCATTTGATTCTTACCTACTTTCTACATCTCCACTAGGTCCACCAAATTGACCATAGTCATTATAAGATGATATACCAGGATAAGGTCCATTTCTCCCATATCCACCATATCCTCTATAATTCCAATTATTTCCATATCCAAAACTTGATCCTAATGGTCCATAATTACTGTACGGTTGTAAACTTTGTATTGTCCTTCGTGGCGGCAAGGGTGGTGGAACTCTATTTGGTACACCTGGGCTGTGAGTAGCTCCTTGTGGACCAGGCCCACTGAAAGAAGAATGTAAAATGTGTATACCAGTAAAATTTGACTCAATATATAAATCATATAAATAACGTTTAAACATTTCGTAAATTTACTTAAAATAGTATTCGTCTGGAGTATCATATTACTATTAAAACCCATTACTAATACCTCATTACAAAGTCAGTTGCACTTCTGAATTGATTGCAATTCATTCCATTGATTCTTTGCTGGTTCATACTACTATGAGAAAGATGCCTGTGTGGTTAAGAATATGGTAAAGCAATACAACACAAGTAAAGTATAATTAGAAGTAATATAACTCCACTTTATCAAACATTATCGTTGACGTTTCATATAAAGGGTCAAAGGTTAATCTATGTAAAACTGGAATTCACCAACACTCAGATGAAGAGTCCTTCCTTTTCTATATGCTTATACCCCCAACGGGGACACTTAAATTTTCTTATGAAACCCAATATGAAAACTTATTGGTGAATGTCGCTGGGAACTTGGCCGCGAACTTTGAACCTTCTGGTCGTGAATCTGCCACCATAATCACTGACGTACATTCAAAAACCTCTCTAGAGTCGACTCTAGTATCATTCTATCCTCTTCATAATAACGATAATAAAAAGAGACGCAACGTGCCCGAATTACCCTGAGTAACATTTCCAATGGACCCCTAGGTTACGGTCGCCCCGCTTATCAACATCATTCATTGAATGCAAACGAAAACAAGTTTTATCATAAACTAAATCTAGTGAAGTCTTTTTGACGTGCTATTGTAACAGAGATGAGTAGGGAGATGCACAACCAGAGATGAATAGGGAGATGCTCAGCGCTACGGTTTTATCATAGAACTTATACTCCTGGAAGGGGTTAAACCGGTCCAGTTAACATTGATCTGAAGGAATTGACCAACCCAAATATTCCTTGCTACCTACTGTGTGTATGATTTGTCTGTTCCTTTAGATGAGTATTAACAAAAACAGTTTAATTTTAAAATCGCCGTGCAAACGAAGTCGTAGTCAATCAGATTACCATTTATAATACAAGAACTGGACTATTATCTAAGGCTGTAGGCAGACAAGAGATTAGTTTCTTTCCTGATATTAGTCTATGCTTTACAAGTAAAAACATTCCTACTTAAATTTAGAAGGCATATGTAAAGAAGAATTTGTGGAGTACTTTGTCAACTTAATATAGTGAAGCTTTCTGATATTAAACCTGTGTTCTCCAAGAAGAATAAATGGCTAATACCGGTCTATTAATTTTGACTAATCCTGTCAAGGTCGCAAAATTATTACCAATAATCAAGGAGCATGTACTGAAAACATTGTACATTCAATATTTCCCAGAGAAAAATATTCTTGTGCCAGGAAGTTATTCATTGTCAACAACTCAATGGAAAGGTCCACGATATGCTCAAACTGTCTCCAGAATTTATGCACTGGCTTCTTCCTTTGCAACTCGTTTAGACGTTCGTGTCTTACTTACAAGCATGAAGAATCCTACTACTCCTATTATACATACCAAAAGACCTGTGGAAATTGTTATATTTGATCAGACGTATAGTAAGAACGATGCTAATGCATTTATACAGGACTATCTATCCAACACATCAATGGGATGTAGTTTTATTACATTTGACAATGATAAGGATGTGGACAGTGATGGTGATAACATGCAGAATTATACAGAAAATTGCACATTTAAAAATGTCGTACTTGGTGGAACATTTGATCGATTGCACAATGGTCACAAAATCTTGCTTAGTGAGGCAGTTTTATGTTGCACAAAAAAGTTGACTGTTGGTGTCACCGAAACAAATATGTTGTCTGGTAAAATCTTTTTAGCATAGATTTTGTTATTAGAATATAAGCCTACTGTATTATTTTTTTTCTTAGGAAAGATATTATGGGAACTCATAGAACCATGCTCCAAAAGGATAAAAAGTGTTCGTGAGTTTTTGGAAGATGTTGATCCATCATTATCATATGATGTTGTTCCAATTTATGATATGTATGGACCTACTAAGGATGATCCCACGTTTGAAATGATTGTCGTGAGTGAAGAAACTAAACGAGGTGGAGATAAAGTGAATGAAATTCGAGAACAGAGAGGACTTAATAAATTGGCTATACATGTAGTTCAATTGATAAGTGAAGCGTATCATCAGAAGCACGAAGAAGCAAAAATTAGTTCTAGTAATCATAGAATTCGTCTCCTGGGCACAAGACTGCGTGATCCTGTAAATATTTGAATTATTCTATTGCATAAAATTTTAGTTAATTCCCATTAAATTAATAAGATGGGATTAAATTAAGTAGATCGAATAGAAATCTGTGTTTAAGAAAGACACAATATGTATATAGTAGGTGGTGATTTTGTAGAAAATCGAAGGTAAATCATTGAAGCCATATATAATTGGCTTGACTGGAGGAATTGCTAGTGGAAAATCATCAGTTGCTGACAAACTACAAAAATTGGGTGCTGGACTTGTAAATTGTGATAAAATAGCACATGACCTGTATCAGCCAGGAAGATCTTGTTTTAATTTGGTAGTAGAACACTTTGGTTCTGGCATACTCAACGCTAATGGCTTGATCGATAGAAAAGCCCTTGGTAATATAGTATTTAATGACAAGGTACATAAATATATTTGCATATATCTTTCTGGTTAAACAGATACCCATAATTTTTTATATTTTTTACAAAAAGGACCAATTAGATAAACTAAATAACTTGGTATGGCCTGAAATTTTAAAAGAATCATTAAGGCAGATCGATGATTTTTATAACAATGGTTTTGAGATTATTGTAATGGAAGCAGCAGTACTTATTCAAGCTAAATGGCAATCTGTTTGTCATGAAATTTGGACCTGCATTATTCCACAAGATGAAGTGAGTAAAGATCGTTCTGCCGAAGAAATAATTTTGTTTGATCTTCAGAATCAATTCGTTAATAAATTAAATTACAGGCTGTAAAGCGTGTAGTAGAAAGGAATGCTTTATCAGAAGATGAAGCAAGGTTACGTATAAAAGTTCAACCAAGTAATATAGAGCAAGTAAACGAAGCTCACGTAGTAATATCAACGTTATGGAGTCATGACGTTACTGAGAAACAAGTACAAACAGCATGGGATCAGCTCCAAACATACTTAGCAAAACAAGTAGCAAGCTAACACGGATAATTAATTATATTAAATAAATAATGCGCAGTGTGCAGCTGTATACTGTACGTAATATTAACATAACAAAGGGGGACATAGGTATTTTGGAAAGGGTGTCATAAATAGAATACTAAGATAGTTATCGTGGCGTAATAACTTAAAAGTATAAAAGTACAGATCTATTTCGATGGACCTCGGTAATTGTTAACCAAATGAAAAACTGCCATAACGGTAGTTACGATTTTCTATGCTGCTTATAATTATATTTGATACATTACAATGGTGATTTATTTCTTCATAGTATAAGTTTAGTTTGCAATTTAGGTATGAAAAACTGTGCCATGTTATTTATTATAATGACTACCTCTTTCTGTGGACAGTCTATTAAATAAAATATAAGTTCTGAAAATTGATTTTATTTTCAATAATATAACGGTACACTAACGCTCAAGAAGACATAAATAATTTGAGGAGTATTATGCATTTCTAACAGAAATACCATTTTGTTATATGTTATTATAATAAATACTGTATTAAAAGGTCAACTTGCTTCAAGCTGTCATTTTATGTTATTCATACTTTTATCTTGTAAAGATTTTTTACAATTAATATAGCATCGAAATATAATTCAAATCGAAATATTGAAAAAATATACAAATAGAAGTCTCCTATTACGGAAACTAGTTAAACTTATGATATATGTGTATAAACAGGCACATTTTCAATTATACTTAAAATTTGCCATTAATGCAAAATTGTTGTAATATATGGAGCATATTATAAAAGTACAAATTAGTTAATCAACATTTCCTTTACAATGGACATACTCGCATATAAGAAACTATAAACGAACCTGAGACAGACTTTTATCATATTGGAGAATTCTTATATAACGAATTCAATTCCGATAGCAATTTTGTTGACATACTCGTAGTGATATTTTTAGAAACAATACATGGCGTAATAAATTCTTTCACTGAATCATCTAATCTTTTGACGTCCGGCGTCTGTAAGAAACTTATATCCGATTTTAAAGCAAGATATGCTGCGAAATGTTCATTGCTCTTTCTACGCGACTTGGTTTTGCGTCTAGACGACAGAGAAAAAACTGGAGTGCATTGATTGCTACAATTAACATTATCATTCAGAATTTGGTCATTCTTTGATATTGTACAATTATCAATTTCTGCTTGATTCAATTTCATTTCTATAGCAGCCAGTCTAGCAGATCTTCTCCTCTGTTGAAAATGTTCTGATTTTTTAATAGATTTCTCAGACCTACTTGGTGTCTTGAAATTTTCCTTATCTTCCTCCATGTTTTTCATAGTCTTAAATTTTTTCTCATCAATTTGTAGTTCATTCATAGTTTGTGGTGAGTCTACTCTTTGAGAGGAATTGATATTCTCTTCATGGGCCTTATTTTGTGTCAATTCTATACTCTCTTCGTCAACAACTTCTTTTGATAAAACTTCCGTCTGCTGATCATTTTGATGTGCTCCATTTCCTATTGCAGTTAACTTGTCTGATTCTTTCTGTGATACAGTGTCTGTTACCTCAGTGGACAAACAAGCTCTTACGTTCTTTGATGTCTCAGATTCCAATAAATTTTTAATGAGGACTAACATTTGCTTCAATTCACTCAATTCTTTTTCACGAGCGAATATCGTCTCTTGGCAATGTGATTGTAAGCGGATTAGATGTTGTTTATCAATATTAATTATCGAATTTAAGTTTATATTATATGGGTTAATGTTAATATTGTTATCCTTTACCTCGTTATCGACATCAGCTGTAACAATTGTATTCAATTCGTTACCGTTGATGGTATTTTCAGCATTAACTAAATTATCCATCAGCAATTCATTTGAATTGGGTGCTTCTACTACAGTTCCTAGTTTTTCAGAAGCTTTAAGTTTAATGGTGGTTTTTACAGGTGTAGCTTTTATATTTGATGCTAAGCTCAAAGAGTCTTTCATTCTTGTGTATCTGTTTTTTATGGTATTTGGGGGTAGTAACATACTTTTTCGTTGGCTTCCTGAAGCAGCAACATTTTTTAGTTTCTGCATTGGTACTTTAAATACATTAGATCCTGCACTCTCATTTTTATTATTCACACAAATACTTTTTTGTGGTACTATTGCAGGTTTATTTGTCTCAGCAATAAAATTCAAGTTTTCCATTACCTTTGGAGAATTATATAATTTTCGTCGTACGCTAAGTCTGAAGGATTGTTCTGTTTCAAGTCCTGAAATTGTGAGATAATACCGAATTATCATTTCTCTTACACTGCATGGTATACAACTTATTTTTTTTAATAATTGAAAGTAATTTTGCTAGATACATACTACTCTTTTTACGGCTTGGATTTGTGCTTCGCAACTCCTTTAAAAGTTCCTTTACTTTTACTGGTTGCGCTTTTTCTCTTGTTGCTACAATTAGAAATATTCACATTATAACATTTCATAATTGATCTTAATATTAAAATATATTTGTAAATTTTACAAAATTTAAGCCCAAATGACATCACAATAAATCATGCACTTTTTGATCATTGATACTCACCTTTTCGACATGATTCAGCGTGTCCAGGATGAATGAAAGCTTGAGTCAATCTCACTGGTTCAGCCCTTCCATGCACTATAACATAAACATAAATATAAACATTTCTATCAGAATAACAGTAGATATTCAACAAGTGTACCATGATTTGCAATAGACAAAAGTATAATTATACTTCAATCTTGAAAATTAAAGGCATAATTAGGAAATGATATATGGTCAGCAATTCAAGTCATTGAAAAAGTATGTTGTACATGAAAATTAACCTTTTGCACTCAGAACCATTCTGGGCGTTCACTAGCTACTCAGCGCCACTTTGTGGAAATTTCAGAAAAACATGTATTTCTCAAAAAGTTGTGCTGGAATAAGTTAATTCCCTGCAATCACTAATAAACTTTAATGTCCCCTGAGATGGGACATCCGAGTAATATGCTAGAATTACGATGTCCCCTGAGAGGGGATAGTGGAGTGCAAAGGGTTAATGTGAAATATCAATTTCATACTTACTCTTTTTTATATCGGTAAAATATTCTAATGACTGCACTGGTTGACATTTTTTATCCATTAGCTTTCCCTAAATAATAATGTCATTAGAAATGTGAAAACAATCCCAAAGTAATTATTTTAAAGTAATGCTGATTGTAAACAAAAATAAAAAATAATACATAAACTGAATTCTTACCACGGAATGAGACATTTTAACAATCAATTCCTTAACTGTCGGACGTAACTGATTATATCTCAATAGCTGCTTGCATTACCATATTTCCAAATAATTCCAGAGTATTCCAATAATTTAATACTTTCAAATTTGTCTACCTTTTCTTATGACTTGCGTTCATACCTCGGATGAGGTGAAATATTATGAATTCAAATTGACATGGTTCGGTTATTTTATATTATGTTATGTATGTTATGTTCAGTTTGATTAATTACGTAGCGTACGTATCGCCGTCTACTGACGTTCCACTATACTAATTTTGTACGTTGCATTTAAATAAAAAGTCAGAGTTATTAAAAAATAGCCTTTTAAATAAATGAAAACTATTTTACTAAGCTCTGACAACAAAAATTAAAAGTGTGTGCATAGCAATATTTCTACAATATTTCTAAACTATTTTCTAAACTGTAATTCATATTTACAATAGGTACTGTTACGCGATTGATATGATAAGTACGTGTTGAACGTTACGCAACATTTACGACGCTGGAGGGTGATTCAAAATTGTTTAATTAATTGTTCCGTGATACTAAAGAAAGCTCCATGTTATTTTATATTTAATAATTCAAATGGACAAGAGCCAATAATACGGCATTTAAAATGCTAATATGTAAAATTAAAATGAATACGTGATGACAAAATACAATCACTAAAACGTAATAATCCTTAACCATATGCGATTATAGGAAGTAAGCACGTCTCAATTCGTATCATTTACCTACATGAACAGGTAAGTCGTAGATTAAAATTGTTTAGATGTGGCTCCAATGTATTCGGATAAAAATTGTCTTATGAATAGCCCGCGTAAGATTTTGATATGGTTCATCGATAGGTTGCATATGTTTACTCCAATGCATTTTAATAGATTATCTACATATATTAAGTTTTGATACTGATGCAGTAGCTAGTAAATACAATTTTTTTCAGGCTGCTTAGCACATATACATAATCATTGAGAAAAATGAGCTGATTGACATCAGGGTATCCTTAAAGTAGGCCCATCTATATATTGGAGTAATCAACGGCAGGCGTGTGTGGCGGCCATTTTGTTAAATTTATTTCTAAACGCATCCCCTCCAAATTGAAAACAACCGAAGGTCGACGCTGTTCTCGATCTCGATAAAGTATTTTTGGTTAGGTTAATAGCTGCGTTGAAGAAATTTAACAGTAAGTAAAATGATGTGATTGCGTTTGTGCTGATTCCGCATTGATTCGACATTGAAAATATACACGCGTGCATGGAAGAGTGATCGTTTGTGTCAGTTTATAACATGTAATTGGGTGGATGGAGGCTTGGCATAAAGAGGCTATGGCTACTGCTTTCATCGTATGTAAAATATTTATTGCGCGACCGTACACTTTTTGTTTTCGTCGCGCGATGGTTCTTCCGCCATCCCAATTTGATTTGCCGGTACGCATTATGCAACTCCGATACTAGTAACGCTCATCTTTATAACCTCTACGAGTCATAACCTATATAATATAACCTTAGATGTCAACATCCTTACTGCCGTAGTTTTCGAATAAATGCATGATCTGCTGTAAAAGGTTGTATACATTTTATTTTAGAATGATACTCTTAGTCTCTTGACAAATCCTTATTTGTTTTCTGCAAATGTTTATTGCTTCATAATTTATTTCTTCACGCCTTTTAAAACATTAAATTATGACACAAATATGTATTTTTATGAAAAAAAGTATTAAATTAGCTGAACATATCATTATTTATTGGGGCTGGTATAAAATTTCTTTTTGTGCAAGTTGTGTAATTGCATCATACTCACCTATTTAGTCGTCTGTTCTTATTTTCTTTACTCCGAGAAGTGAACTTGTACGCAGAAAAAGTCTTCAGGAAGTATTGCTTCATGAGTCTTGATGTATTTCACATATTAAGCAATAATTATATGCCTTGCATATTACATCATATAGCCATTTAATAGTGTACAATTTGTGATTCGAACATATGAAAAATATTTTACCTCAATCAAAGAATTAAGTGTAATGCAATTGCTTAATAAGACTGATATCTTGATTTTATAACTGACATACAAATTACAGATTGTCTTTTTAAGAAATGTTCTTATGCCTCCTTCAACTCCTTAAAACTATTATAAATGAATGCGCAGTTTAACTACGAATATGTCTAGTTAATAATATATTTTCATTTAAGTGATTTCAGTGATAAAATAGGTACAACAACAACAAAAATGGATGTAGGCGGAGATTTAGCATTGCAGTGGGTGGAGGAAGTAGGAAACGTTATACATGAAGAAGTAATATGTGGCTTGGAAGCAGAACTCACTGCCCCGGAGGAAGAGGTCATTGGAGCATGTGAAGAGGTGTGTGTAGAGGAAACAGTGGAATCTGGTCCTGACTGTGGTACTACAGCAGATTCAGAAATCTTGATGGTACCTCAGACAAGTGACATGGAGTCTATCTATATAGTACCACAAGATCAAGGTCACGATTATCTTAATATAGAAGTAACTGAAGAGGTAATAGCCGATAATTGGGATAGATCCGGCCCAGATGATGGGTGAGTCTTCTTTTCCATAAATTAAAAAAATTAAAATATTATTCATAAGAAATTCGCTAAATGTGAACATTGAATTTGTCATTCTATAATTATTTTAAAAATATTAAAAAATGTTTGCATTTAACATAAGTATAAATCAAGATACAGCTAATTTCTATATCCAATGACGTAACATGTGTTGATTTCTGTTTCAAGAGTGGAAATACCAGAAACAAAAGTATCTCACGACAACCTTCTGGAATACGACGACATGGAAATCCCGTTACCAATCGATCAGGATTCGTATACAAATACTCGACCATATCCTTGCGATTTTTGCAGTCGTAGATTTCGGAAAAAAGCGAATCTAATGAATCACATGGTTGCACATCAAACAGACCGTCCGCATGGATGTAATCTATGCGGTGCACGTTACGTTAGAAAGTGTGATCTCATGAATCACTTAAAGATTCATGCGTACGCACCTTCTCGCGACGGTCTCGAGGATGATCTAAACGACGACGACTCCCTCGCCCATGACGAAGAGGAGCCGAATAGAGGTAGACGTAAGAAGGCTCAATCTAGTGCTCCAAGAAAACGCAAAAACAATGCTGCATCAGCCAAAAGAAACAACGACGATATCAAAATTGAAATGAACAAGTACATGAATAAGTCGTACGATTACGTTGACGAGGATATGCGACTTCTGGAAGAAATGACGAGTCGAAACACAGCAAGAAGTAGTAACTATGCATCCAGTTCGAGATGGACCGATGAGATATCCACAATGCCAAGCGAACCGCAACCACCTCGCTGGCCAATAACGGACCCAACAAAGCCCTACGTGTGTCAGCATTGCGGTGTCGGATTTGCTCGTGAAAAGGCATTGGCATCTCATGCTCGAATACATGGTGGTGATAGCCCCTTCGAGTGTACTTCATGTGGTGACATGTTTTGGGACGTGAATACATTGCGAGATCACGTTAGGATGAAACATGGTGGTACCGTTCATACCGAGATGGATGAATATGATAACGATGCTACATACACTGGTGACGAAAGGTTTGGCGAGTTCTATTGTGAAACTTGTGGAGTACCTTTCCATCGTTTAGATCTGCTTAAACGTCATCGGAAGTATGTCATCTTCTCTACTTATATCTTTAATTATTTATTACATACCGCGATTAATATTAATCAATCCGTGTACTTAATAGAATTCACGTGAAGCAGGAAATAGACATGACTGAAGGATCGAGTCAGCATCACGTTTGCAATGTGTGTGGAGAATGGTTCGAAGAGGCCTTAGCATTACTTGCACACGCTGAACTGCACGCTAGGTACTATGCTTTCATGATTGAAGTATCATAATTTTGTTTAGAAAGTATCTAAGGGAGTGTTTACTTTGGAATTGTTTATATCCATATTATGCAATTAAGTCTTTTTACTATTAATTGCATTTATTATTGTGATGATCATGGGACGATTGTTTACTGGATGATAACGCATCCTTTCACTGTTTGCATTAGGTGTCTGTATGTATGATTTCTTTAACATAGATCTCCTAGTCGCCGCTGTCTATTGTGCGGTCAGAGGTGTCGAGACGATGCAGAAGTAGCAGAGCATGTGCGTCAATATCACGCGGATGATGCACCGCCAAATACGTGCAATCTTTGTGGTAAAACTTGCAAAGACAAACGAAGTTTATTAAAACATTCATGGATTCACAATGCCGATAAGACTTTCGGCTGTACGAAATGTGGCAAACGTTTCCACAGTAAAGCCAGGCTACGAAGGTAAGTATTTGGTATATTTTTTCTTATTGCGATAAAACATGTATAACATAAATATGCTCCTTCTAGACATATGGTATCTCATCGCAATAAAATGGTAGCCTGCGACGAATGTGGCGAGGAGTTTCCAGATGGTAGAGCTCTTGTAAGTCATCGTCATTCGCACAACAAGGATTTAGGCGGTAGATCATTTCCATGCCGAGAATGTGGCAAGACCTTCGGTAGCCGAAGCTCACAACAAATTCATATTCGTATTCACACCGGCGAGCGGCCTTATGGTTGCCGCTTTTGCTGGAAGGCTTTTGCAGACGGTGGAACTTTGCGAAAGCATGAACGTATACATACCGGTGAAAAGCCTTATGGTTGTGCGATTTGTCCTCGTGCTTTTAATCAACGTGTAAGCTGCATTAATTTGTTGTATCACATTTTATATCATACTGCTTGACATGTCGTATATTTATTTACCAATACCGTTTGGATCATTGTAGGTTGTATTACGTGAACACGTAAGGGCTCATCATTCTGGGCCCGATCCAAAGTGCCACGGAAGCATGACTCCGTACTTGTGTAAAGTGTGTGGCGACGCGTACTCGACATCCGAGGAGATAGTGGCGCACATAGTACAACACTGCGACGATAATACCGCGCTTAGGAGACAACCTCAATCCGGTCCTAGAAAATACAAGAGGAGGCGTAAGTTGAAACCTCTCGAAGGGGCGAGCATGAATATGCCTCGTATGAGTGAGAATTATGTAGATATGCTACAGCAACCTGGTTCAGATTCTGATGACAATACCAAACGAAAGCTTGGGAGAAAGAACAAGCAGCAGCATCGTGCTAATGTTGAGGAGGGTTATCAGAATGTCTTGAAGAGCTTCGAAAGCTCTTTACAGAATATTAATTCAATTGTGAGCAATTCAAAGTTGAATCCTTCAAAGTCGAAGCTCTCGAAGAGAAAGATAAAGAAGGAAGACAAGAAGAACGAGACCCAAACCTCCTCGCAATCTGGTAGGCCAAAAATGATACATACTCAAAAGACTAGGGTACCTGTCGAGGTAGGTAGCGATGGGGCCAAAAAAGGACAAAAGACAAAGACAATGGTTACAAGGACCCCAAAAGTGATGCCAAGTGAGCACAAGATGGGAATCTTCCCAGGTGGCGAAAGAAATCGACCTAGGACGAAAAATGTGAGTTATCATATCGAAGGGAAATTACATGTGACGCCTGCAACATTCCCAAAGCCAAAGGAGGACATGGATAAACCTTTGTCGCCACTCTTGACTAATATCAAAATCGAACCAGGACTTCAAAAAAGTTCTAGCAATAATCACAGCAACAATAACGGCAACATCCTTGGTATGAATATCGAAAAAGCTCCAACGCCTTCGAGAAAGAAACCCGTCGTCATGAGGAGAGTGAGAAAACAGAAGCAAGTGGTGATTAAACAAGAGCCAAGAGATATAGATGACGAGGAGGAGGATGAGATGCAAAACAATAATATTTCCCAGAGAGTCGAGCCAGTCAGACTCTCCGCAAATCGTCTAGATCGAACCAATATGGACCTTAATTTCGAGGCCAATCTTCTAAATGCCGAGCATGAGTCCATTCTTCCAGATATTGGAAGGTCCGATCACATGGACGATATGGAAAATGGAAATGTCAAACTGAGCGTTAAGATGGTCGAATCGACACCACAGAGATTGATGACCATACATAGCGTTATTGGACCAGTAGACGATGTGCCAGAGACCATAATACCTGATGCTGTTGAATATACTTGCGAGATGTGTTCGGCAGTATTTTCAACCCGTGCAGAGCTTTTGGTTCATGTGCCGATACACATTTGATTGCATTTGGGTAAAGTGAGTAAAGCAGGTATCCAGGTTTGTTCTATTATACAAATATTTCGTTTAATCGAACAATTAATTGAAGACCGTTTGCCATGCGGAACGTGGATGACTTGTTGGTTCATTTAAAATGGTACTGGGATTTTATGCGAAAAATGCTGTTTGCTATTTTCTTATCCATGATCTATACCATATTCTCTTCCAGTTCGTTATCCTCTATATTCTATTCTATTTACTCCTATTTATCGTTACTTTCCCGTTTCTATTTCATCACTTTGTTTTTCATATTATGCGTTTTAACTTTTGTCCTTATACTTTTGAATTTTCATTTTCACAAATGTGCACAGAATAACACTTCAGTCGGTCGTCATTTAAAACAACAGTATACATCTCTGTATTACTTAAGCAGGCGAGATTATGTTTACGCTAAGAACTGTCGCAACCAAATTCATTTTTATCTATTCTTCCGGTTGTTCTTTAGATTCCCTCAATTAACAGCGAGCAACGGTGAACCTTGCTTTTATTTGCCATAGGGGCCGTTTCGCTTTCCTATAAAGAAACGACGCGGCATAGACCTTGACTCATATTACTTATAAGACGGGATCAAGCATAACTACGTGTACATGATAATTGAAATATCAATAGGAATGTGTTCCATTACGATGCTGCGTTCATATAAATTCTATTGTATATCACTTCTTAGCCCTTAAATCGAATCAAAGGTAAATTACAAATTGTACGTTATAATGTCGAATGTCTGAACGATACGGGCGATTTTCGTTATTATTATTCTTATATTATTATTATTGTTATATATAGACTGCCCTCGCGCACGATTCGACTATTCTTAGTTTCATATTAAAATTGTCCATTTATCTTGTGCATATATCTAGAGAGAATAAATATGATCAAGAGACAGATTAACTGTTACCGTTGTGAATACAGTAAAGTACAAGGGAATAGAGGATACAATTTTGAAAGCATAATAGCATAATTGAATCAGGGAAGATTATTCGTGCGGCCCTAAAATACAGACCTCGCATAACGTTCTCTTTTAGCGTTATATACATTTTCATACATACAATAATATAGAATTGCGATGCGCGATCTTACCGTTTCGTTGTTATTTTATTCGCTGGATGAATTGTTAGTGCAATTAATGAGACATTGGAATAAAGATCTTTTCTCTCGATTGCTCAAACGATTATCACGAGTTCAATGTCGAGAACTTCGATTCTCGCAGAGCCAATAACGTTCAGTGTTTTAGACCGAGTTAAAAGAAATTATCAAAAAAATTATTGTCAGTCTAATTCGACATATTTCGATTCTCCAGATTCGTTTGTCGAGTATCGCCAAACAGTATGTTCATTATGGCACTGATTCGGTATTACGGGGATTTATTTAACAACGTTATACTAATTGCAAAGAGATTGTACGTTAACCATTTTCATCGGATGATGATACAAATTTTTATTAAGTATCGCCGTGCGGTTGCTTATGTTCAACGGAGAGATAACAAATGAGTACAGATTTATTGTGTCGTCGCACATGGCTATGAATTCGTTAAATTAATCTGTATCGATTAAGGAAAGACATTGTAAATTTATATATACATATGTTATATAAATAATCCTGTAATCGATACTACCGTCACTGAATGATTTAGAGAATCATTCGTAACGTTGTATCGAGTTGGTATTTCCGTACGTGCACTTTTATTATGAGAAAGTGATAACTCGTTGGCACGTTATATACTGTCGGTACTAGTCAAAGTGATACGCAAGTCTAAATAGAAATCTGTGCATTGCCAAGTAAAATCCCTAACACTTTTAAATGCTCCGCAAATCTTCAAAGCGTTACGGATGCTTTATTATTTACGGAAAAGCTTAGTGCAACAGCGAAATAAACGAATAACCGTAACTAATGGAATAATGATTAATTAACACGTTAGACATACAATTTCTGTAACGCGTTTACTTTTCTTCTTACTGTTAATCGCGTTTATTTCCACTGTAGATTGTACGACGTAATAACGTTTCTTCGATTGTGCAAAGGCTATCACGCATTTTGTTATTTCTCTGAATGATAGTTAATTGGACGAGGACTCATTCCCTGCACAAGAGTGTATTTTAAAAAATCTTGTTGGCATCTGCGTTGCGAGTTTTAAAAAGATCTACATAATTTCATGAATATTATGTAATTCCTCACAGAAATTGTCAAACACAATGCCACGTTATTTGATTCATCGATAATTTGATACCGATAAAAACAATGGATCATTCATCATTTTCCTTCCACTGTGTGCGTTAAGAGATAATATATTTATATGAATTTCATTGGTCGTAAAGGTACATGATTTCATTTTCTTCTTCTTCTTCTCTTTCCCTGCCGTGGGTTATTGTTATTCTATGCAACATTTACATTACACATACTAGACTTACGCTCTATTATGGTAACGCTCATGCGTTACAATCATACCAAACATTGACTAAGCCATTGATACACATTATGTATACCTCACGTGTAACACATAGGGAGGAGTCGTTCTGAAGATAAATGTCAGCCACGAGCGTTAAACGCATTGGCGGAATTTACGTTTTTTTACTTCTCGCGCGCATTAATACATATATTTGGTTTTATTTCACGCGAAGATGTATTATTAATATTCGTGCACGTTAGGACTGGGTGCGTTTGAGATACCTGCTTGTACGGCTCTTGATGGAATAAACCAAGAAAAAGGAAAAAAAAAGTAGGAGTATCAGGTGTTGTTGCTGGAGAAAGAGCTATATTATATTTTAATATTAAAGAAGAGGTAAACAAAATTTATAGTAATTTCAGAGGACGAGTCGTACATAATGATTATTATTGTCTTTTTTTTTTCTTTTTTGTAATTAATGTTACCCATCATACTACTCCATTTGTTAATAATCTGAAAGTGTCAGGAAATTGCGTTAACTTCATTGACAACAACGTATAACTATTAGTACAAAAACAAGACGCAAATTATCATCGTTACGATTTAGCAATTTGCCTTACTTGTACAGTTTGAAAATTTGCAGTAAAACGAGGTCCGATTAAAGGGGTATTGGCACGGGCGAAGCGTCATTAATGATATTTCTTCATTAATGATTTTTTACACTCCGTTACGCTCATAAATGATAACGCATCGAGTTCAATGACTTGAGGTATACCCTGTCGAAGGAGGTGATCGGCTGTTGTTACTTTTTGCAAATGGTATTGTATATATTCGATCGATTCAGATCGATATCAAAGAGTCGACCAAGTCGTCGACAGTCGTAGGACTCGTTAGTCTCGTTTGGAATTCGCATTAAAGATAAAGTATCACATGAAAATATTCTCCTTCAAATATTTCATATGCGCTCTGCTCGGTGAATACTTTTTTTTTGTTTTCATAGAGCAGCTAGAAAAGCGACGAAAATTACAGGATACGGTAATATTTACAAGACGAATTTTAATACGAGAGAAAATACTAGCAAAGTACATTAATAAGTCTAATTACAATCATGAGGGAAGTCATGAATGTGTAAGTAATTGTGGTTTAACTTGATATAATTATGTCTAAAGTAATTAATTACTCGATAGAATAACAATGTGTTGCATGATAAAGTTTTAATGGATTTAAGGAAGAAAATCTTATATGACCAGTTCGGTTATAATCTAAGGACTATGTAGTATATCTAGATGTGTAAGGATTGAGTTAATTAATCCCCGGGCTATATAAATGAAAGAAAATATAATCGGGGTACTGCGATTACTTTCACCAGGAAGAAGTAGTAAATTGTACATATTACCCTTGGAAACGGTATGGTGGCGCAATTTACTGTTAATCGTAGTTGTATTTTTCTTTGAATAAATCATTATTATTAGATATATCGTTAAAAGGGAAAACAATATTACTACCTACGTCCGTACAAGATTAAACCTTTTATAATCGATACTGTACATATTCATGTATGCATGTACATAAATATACGGATATGCATATACTTGTCTAGGCCGAAGGTATATTATAGTTATTCGGCAGTTCAAATTGTACATTGCGTTGACCCGTTTTACCTTCGCAACTTTATATCTTGTACGAAAGAAGAGAGCGAAGGAGAACATAATTGTCAGACATAAGAGTTATTCTCATTAAACATTTGAGCATCATTCGGGATCTTTTTAACGATGATAGTTTCTGGATAAACACTGGCAGACTTGTGCCTTTCCTTTTTCAATAAACATTACATTTTCATCTTAATTTTTCAATTGTGGGAAACACTTTTCCTTTTTGTATCTTCACATGTTAATAAACTCAGCCTTTCTCCATGTGTACAGGTACCACTTGATTCTTTATAAGCAATTTGCAGTGTGCGTACGCGTTACGCAACTGAGATAATTGAAAATATTGTAACAATGGCTTAGGGAATAAAATCGCAAATCCCGTAAATCTCCTTTTCAAAACCCATGCATATAACAGAGAGAAGGACGAGGACAGCTCCCACGATGCTGATTTGATTGGGCACTTCTTCGAAGAAGTAAATCTGAACTATGTAAGCTAGAATTATATCTAGGGACCTTGTGACTGAAACTTTTCCAGCACCCTCGATCTTCAATGCCATAGCTACCAGAACCTGGCCCAGGAGGCCAGTAAATGCAACGGCTAATATCTTCAGCCAAGTGATGCTATCTCGGGGCAAGTGAAATTTGAATTCGTGATTATTTGACATAGCAAAGAAGAGAATTATTGCTGAAGCCAGAGCCCATAGTGAAAGATTTAATACTATTATAGAATAGTGGACCTCCAAGCATTTTCTCATTATAACTATGTTCATGGCCGTGAAGAGCGTTGCTAAAATTGCGCACACGTATCCCATCACGTTGTAATGCTCTTCTTTGTGCATCTGAAATTCATGGTGATAGATATAGTACGATAGCAATGTAATGCTAGATGAATTCTTATACAGATTATTAGCTTCTTACTTGGAACAGGAATGGTGGTTTTGAAACTAAAGTCACACCTATGAACAGTGTGCATATAACGGCTATGCGCAACACTCCACAAGGTTCCTTTAAAAATATAAAGGATAGAGCAATTACGATTATCGGTGAGCTGAATATTATCGTGGTAGCATCTCCCAAGGGTAACATTCTGAAGCTGTAATACAGCAGGGAGAGCGTCATACCTCCTACTAAACCCTGAAAATTATCAAATTAATATAAATAAAAGTAACGTATTACTTGCAGTACATTAAGAATATCTATTATGTCTAAGCCTTTACAAGACGAAATAGCGTAATCAGTTACTTTAATTCACTCTGTGAATCTAACAGAGCAATAATGCAGTGAAAATAACATTTATTGTAACTCACCTGAAATTGAACAAGTAACCGCTGTCCTTTAGGACCAAATAGATTCCTGGAGTCTTTAAAAGCCACCAGCAGCATAACAGTTATTTGTAACAGACACCTGATGCTCAAGAGTATCATGGGATCGACGTTACGCACAGCCTTCACCAGGGCAGAACTTATAGTGAAAAATGTGCCAGATAAAAACGCCAGGAACACTCCAAACCATTTTGTCCCATCCCGGTAAGTTTCGATATTATTGTTAAATTGTTCTGTATACTGGTAAGTCGGATGGATGCTGTTATAAGATGTCACGGAGTCGATACTGAACTTCATTGTTTTGACCATCGCGGATTCTTTATCTCGAATAATGTTGAATGAAAGATATCTAAAACACTACTGTCAGGGACTCATCTGTTGCCCGATGTAATTACCATATACGGCTTACCGCGTCAAAGAGCTTATTATGGATTAACGACATTAGTAGATGCAAGAGACGTAGTAGAACTGTAAACTGATGGTCTCGTGGAAGCTGCGTCCAGTCGATAACAGAAACATGACATTACATTTTATATGTTAGTAGAACTGTCTTTATGTAACTGGCGTCGAGTTCATAGATAGTCTTTTAGATACTCTTAATATTTATTAAGGTCGACGTTACTTTAAACGATAACTTAAGTTGGCCTATCTTTTCGATACTAGATTTCACGAAAATCATATTACTGCATACAAAAAGTTTATTGCATCGATGAATGTGTAAGTTGATACTATTTTAATGAAAAGTCAGAGTATATAAAGATCAAATCATCATGAGTACATAAAAATCAATCAATTTTTCAATCTTTTCCAAAGTTCTGAACAAACGGTGGCTGATCTACACGGTATAGAGCTTCGCCCACATTGAAATAGCCTAGGTATTCAGCGACATCAGGTGTAGTGTCAATATGATAATGTCCGGCTTCTCCGTGATGAGAAAAGCTGTGGAAATGTTGAACACGTAGATCCATGCCCTACAACAAAATTACTCCATTAGTCTATTATATATTTTTTAATAAATTCAATAAGTAGCCATTATATAAGCCGTTTATAAACAATAATCTCTGACAAAAATTATATTAAATATAATAGTGAGATCCCTACCGCTTCGTCAGTAACCATTGTTCCAACTGCTATCAAAGGTGCAGACATATCAAAGAAATACAACCAATCATTTAGGGCTTCATCACTGTTGAGAGGCTCAGTAGAGAAATCGGACATCACGTGCTGTTTCGCCTTACCTTCTTTCAATAAGAAGGTACCGCCCAAACCTAATGAGACGGATTATCCATTGGTATTATTTATTATTCAGATGTCATCCTTAACGCTTAAAACTAACTGTCTGAACGGATGTGAGCTCACCGACTAGCTTATCCTTATAATATGACCGTACGGCCTTTCGGATACTCGCGATGAAGTCATCTTGACCGATGCGCTTCTTCACGTGCACCTTCAATACTTTACCAGGTTTACCCTCACTTACATAAATATTAGCTAGTAATGCTAAACGAGTTTCTTTTTCTGGTAATGTTTGTTGTACGCAGCAATTGGCTTGCTTGTTCACAGAACCAATGCGGGTTTCGTTTTTTAATCCCGATGGTGCAATTGCCAGGTTCATTACTAACTGGAATAGAAAGGATTTTTAAAATACATATTTATCGATTTTATATTATTAGAAATAAGTATAAGTTTATCATCGCATTACCTCGCAATTACAATTCAGGTATGGCCATGGACCTGCTCCAGCACCTATGAGTAGGGCAATGTCTCCATAGTTCAGACGCTTTAAGAGTGATTGCACGTCGTATATTTTTTCCCTTTGAACAAGGGGAAGTAGGTATGGTGGGCCACCAATTTCTATCAGTTTTTGCTTGCCGCCAAGTCCTACAAATTAAGAGATGATTGTATATTATTATAATATAGAGAATGTACATTTTTTTCATTCAAAATTAATTATTATATTGATTACCTGGAGCTGCCAGGGTAAATGGCTGTTTTGTCAAATCTGGACAATCCACCACTTCTACAGCGACTTCAGCAAAGTTATTCGGTAGCGCTTGTTTTAAAACTGTAATGAATTAATAAATTCATAGCATTCTTAATACTTTCTTAAATCTATGTTAGCGTTCTACATATTAGAAATACTATACCATCTCTTATTTCTTCAAGTGGTGGGACGAATAATGGCTTCTCTACCACTTCCAATGACTCTGAATCTAAAGCACTCATGATGGTAACTTTTTTTGAACTGAAAGAATTAAACACAATAGACTTTGTTAATACTGGTCTAAAGACTCACTTATCCTGAAGTATCTGCTTCTCTGTGATACAAAATATAGTCTTTTCCACTGATTATTATAGACTGCTGTAATTGGCATTTAGAACTACAGCAAAGTGTTACACAGCTTCATGGTTTATGCATTTGAACAGATTATGCTTCATTGAACACTAGTGTGACAGGTGACATATATCAAGGACAAAAGATCGGTTAGGATATACCGAAGACAAAAAAACTAACTATATCATAAATTTAATTTACAATAGAAGTATTTTGATCGAGCTTATTAATAAAATTGTGTTATGTGTAGTAAGTTTAAAGAATTAAATTGATGTGAATGAACAAGCATTAAGTTTAATTATCCAGACTTTCTTATTGTCAGATGCTATAAATATATGGATAATTTATTAGTAACTTTTGAAATAGAAAGTAAGTGTATAATAAGGTACGTATACCTGAGATCTTGTTATTAGAAACTTCAAAACACAAGGCAAATTAATTGGAAAGTACCATTAATGGCAACTAAGCAAGTCTAAAAATGATCAATTGCTTGAACAGCTTCTCCATTTGAGTATTCTGCTATAGATCTCCCTACCATTATTTTATCTTATCAGTAATATTTGTATACTGTTTTATAGCCAATTGAAAAATTCAGTGATAACTTATGTAATATATGTATCGTTTTGAAATAAACACATGTTTTAACTACATATACACTATCAAAGACTTAAAGTATTACAGTAAGAATGATACCGAGATATTTTAAAATAATAATATATTAAAGGTATAAAAAGAATTAGGCTACCTATATTTTAAATATTTTCTCATGCCATGAAAATATCAATAACGTGGATAAGCTAATAATATAATGAACACTGACATATAAATGATTAACTAGAAAAATGTTTGTATCGCTCTTTGTGAATAAATATTGTGAGTTAATGTATTGCAAGACACAAAGATAAAGTTTTATATATAATTTTATTTGTATAACTTTGAGACAGCAGTATTTACACATAGTAAATTATCAGTAGCAGTCACAGATATGAATAATGTACTAATATACAAATTACCTAAGTAGTTCCATGAAGCCTATAACAAATTCATTTAATATAGTTAATAACTGTATGTATGTACATCATTCAATATGAAGCACCTGTTGCTTACTCAATTACATCACTGGTTGCTATTAGTATAGACAGCCACATTCATATGAAAATAGACTTTTCTTATTCAAAGTCTATCTAGACGATCTTGTGTCATAATATTGTAATCCACAGCTCTTTTTAACAACAGAATGTTAAAAAGAAGGACGAATTACAAGAGTTAATTAAACCTTTGTTTTCGTGCATAGCGTCGAGTGGATAATTATCAGGGCACAATCATTTGTCAAATACACTAAGATAAGTAATATGAAGATAGTACACTTGCGATTACCGAATAGAAATGACGTCGCGGCTGTACAAGTTGAACATAGTAATTCTATAAAATTTTATTGGAAACGAATAGTCAGATGAAAATGGTAGAATATTTAATAATTTCCGTTATAGATATATGATAAGCTTTTTGCGATAGTGCAAATGATAATTGTTCTGCACTTGACGTTGTAATTGCCAATTACAGTATAATCATATAATTATATATGCCATCATCATAATCAACAATGTGTTTACAATACAACAGTCTAGCTGATCACATATACTCTTCATGCGTTAAATACATTTTATACGAATGAATACTTTGCATTAAAGATTTGAGTAAAAGTTCTTACTCACCATAAGTCAGTCAAAATATATTAAAATAAATGAATGAAATTAATTTCAGGTAAAGTTTTGAGCATTGCTTCTGTTACAAGAGCCTATAATCATCACGATCCATTGTGGAAGTACAGTAGTTAAGATGTACAAATTTGAATTGTATTGTACATACATAGGCATAACAAGATTAATATTTGTCATTAACGTGGCCCTCTACCGTTTTAAGATTATAACTAGTTGCTCCTGTATGTGCAGTTATCGGCATTTGGAAACTGCCAAGAGTTGGGTAGAATTTGAAGACTAGCGAAGCAACAGCGGGGAAATAAAGCCACCAAAAGATAAAGAAAAAGAATAAGCAGAGGCACATATTTTGTACAGTTAAATATTTTAGATAAGTTTTTAATCTGTGTATGGTGTATTTATAAGTCCACTATAGTATATTTTTAGTTCTTGAAAATTGATGATGGTGTTGCGAAAATAGTGGCGCCATACTTTGGCAATGCATTGAAATTGATTGAAATTCATTGTGTTGGCTACCTACTTGGTGCATCGGCGTGAAGTGCATGAGCATAGGATAGGAGTGGATAGGAGGTATATACTGTAGACTTATTAGAAGTCATCAAGTTCACCCGTTTATTAGACAAATTAGAGGACTGACTAGAATGAGTGTTGCAAGCCGCGGCCATGTGTCAAACCACACAGAAATTTAATAGATATCAACCAAGAATCAAAAATTTAGCCGGTATTCAGTGCAAAGGCGTTGTCACTTCATCAGATTCCCGGATAATTTGATTTGTAGTAATAACCGTGGTTAGACTGGGTTCTGAAATGTTTCTTTTTACAACTTTGACGTCGACCAATGTAATGTCATTGACAGGAACGATAACAAGGACGATATGAGAGAACAAGTACCTTGGGCATTATTAATTGCTATTGAGGATGGTCCTGCCAGCTGATTAGAAGCGGAACGACATGTGAACCTTCCACTGGAACTTGGAGCTTACGTCCAATTTATAGAAAACGAGGTTAGTTTCACTGTTTAGCAAGCAAAATGGGCAACAAGAACAGTTGTTGCGCGTACTCCAGCCCCCAGACTGGCCGCAAAGAAACCTCAGCGGAAGGCGCGAGTCGTGCTCTGGAAGATCATCTTCCTGAGGGAGAAATCAGTGTCAATAATCTTCAGCATATCAGCGAACGTGAACCTGAAGACTGGGATTCTGATCCTTCTCTTCATCCATGTGCTGGTACTATTTTTATGGAACGTTCCAAACAAGCTATTGAAAGTGAGTATCGTACTATATGGATAATGGTATATAAGAATTTCGATTATTAGTATTAGAGGATTAGGTTAATTTTTCGACTATTTTTTCATGGATTTTTTAATGTTCTTATCAAAATTTATGTGTATTAACTAGTTTGTAAAAACATAGATTTCAAGGAATTAGTCTTATTTTACTGTTGAAATTGTAGAGTAACTACTGATTATACTTAATATGGTATTAACTTTTGAATTCATTATAGATGGTATGGTAAGAAAGAAAAGTCAACATCAAATAGCAGATACAAGGCCATTAAAAAAGAGCAGTAGTTGCAGTACAATATACTTGGATGATAGTACTGTATCCCAGCCAAACCTTAAAAATACTGTTAAATGTGTTGCTCTAGCAGTTTACTATCACATCAAGAATAGAACATCCCAACGTCAAATTGATATATTTGATGAGAAGCTCCATCCACTAACGGTAATAAAATATAAATATTCATTCTTAAGTTTTCTTAACATCATAGGTGTTGAAAATGATAAGATAATTATTAAATGCTCATAAAGGAATATATATTTTCTCAATATGCCTATTCCATAAGTATAGAAGTTATTGCACTTACAACAAAAGAGAGAATAATTACAATAATCTTCTATTCCTGAATATGGTTTAGTATATTCGTAAAAGCTATCAGCATGATGAAATAACAAAAATAACTGTTCCACAGAGAGATGGTGTTTCTGAGGACTATGACAAACACAATCCAGAGCATAAGCAGATATATAAGTTCGTGAGGACACTTTTCAATGCAGCTCAATTAACAGCAGAGTGTGCCATCATCACTCTAGTGTATCTTGAGAGGCTGTTAACCTATGCAGAGATTGATATCACACCCGCCAATTGGAAAAGGATTGTTCTTGGTGCTATTCTCCTAGCATCCAAGGTGTGGGATGATCAAGCCGTCTGGAACGTTGATTATTGTCAAATCCTCAAAGACATTACAGTTGAAGACATGTAAGTTTATTCTTGTCCCATTCCATCATTCTGTTGTAACGTAAAAGAGATATTCATAATTAATTAACATAGTTCCGGAAACGAAAGAAAAATTAACGTTTATTATATATCCCCAGGAATGAATTAGAGAGGCAATTTCTGGAGATGCTGCAGTTCAATATAAATGTCCCGTCGAGCGTGTACGCAAAGTATTACTTCGACTTGCGCACTCTGGCGGAGGCGAACGAGTTGACATTCCCCAGTGAGCCATTAAGCAAAGAAAAGGCACAGAAGCTTGAGGCAATGTCCCGGGTCTACGAAGACAAGGTGACAGCAGAGGCGTTACGTAATGGTCTTAAGAAATGGTCCAGCCTCGACAACGTCTGCATAGGTGGACCAAGGCGAAGTATCGCCATCCTCTCGTAGGCCGTTGTAAGTCTCGCTCGCTTCTATATTCCAATATATTCCGATCCCTCCCAGTTTATCGCGGAGTTCACAGGTTCTACGGCGACACTTTTATTTTTACAACCAGGAATACCCTCCATTGACCTACGTCACGGTACAAAGTGTATCGACCTAAGCTCCTCAAAGAAAATCAACCTTTTACACGCATTTTCTATTGTAACAGTAAAGGAAAAAATATTGCTACTATTATTGCTAAAATATTACTACTACTAAACTATTATTACCACTACTATAACAACTACTACCCATACTATTGCCACGTCACTACTGCTATTATTGACAGCTAGTAATTATTTGTACCATTGCGATAGGACGGTTAATAATAAAATAAACGCGAGGACGCTGAACAAATGGATAGTCTCTCAAAATAGTCGAAAGTAATATAGATTAGGCGAAGATAATATACGAGAAGTAAACTTGTCGTCGTAGCTAAAGGTATAAGAGTGACCAATGTGTACGCGTACGCCGAGAAACAACTTTCGTAATATAACGTTTTTACATAATAAAAATTAGTCAAGGCGAAGGATATTTTAAGCGTTAGTCGTGTACGAGCGAGGAAAAGCCAAACTTTTATGGACGAAAAATATATGCAGAGAAATGTCATCGCCGACTTTATAAGACATTTTATTAATTGCAAAGCATTTATCGTCATCGAATATATAATTGAATACTCCGACTGGTCTATATAAAATAAGGGGAAAAGGGATTAAAATAAGGATAAATGCAGACCATTACCTCGTTTAATGCGAGAATAAAACTCTGTTTCTTCCGATAGATAATTTCATAATTACTATTACTGCATAACTATTTTTCTAAGTAGCAAGATTCGCTCGCTGTAAAGACAATCTAGGCACAGTATCTCGTTGCGTCCTGTAAATAAAGCTATGCTGAATACAAGAAAAGCTATTAGTATGACCTTACGTCCGAATCATGTATGAGATCTAGAAATAAGAGCAAAGGTTTACTTATACGTGTACTTTATTTCGCGGATAGAGGCGAGAGATCTTAGTAAATAACCCTAGAACTTGATTTATATTTATAATTCATGGTTATTTTTAATGTCTGATTTAGATTCAGATGAATACTATGATCGTCATCTTATTTTGTCATTTGTAATTGACTTTGCACAGAGTTTTTTTTATTAAATTTCTTATACTTGCTTTGTTATGCGGATGTACGACACAAGCAATTCTCATTATCGGAGCGGAAACTGGTATTAAAGAGCACCAGGGATAATTGTGGAGAGAGGTCATCATATATTATTCATGCAGTTCCTACAGATGTCAAAGCGTGGTATTCTTATGGAAATAATTTCAAATCATGAGACGTAATTATCGTAACGAAAGAAGGCTCTTGAGCATGGATATTTATTTTCTAAATTTGATAATACTTATTTCGATTTTTTTAAAGTGCAGTAACGATGTAATTACGAAAAATTGTATAATTTTCACAGTATCATTCAGGCCGAACACGGCAAAAATACCATGACGGAAGTGACACTTCAGAAACGACAATCTTGCATTTTCCTATACTTAATGCTGAAATGACTGCATAAATTTAAATCGGAAATATTGGTATTTCTGTAACGAGTATTTCTTATGTTACTTAAAGTCCAAGGGCATTTGCCAAACAGAAAACTCAACGCTAGCATTGACCTTTAGTGCAAGAAACATTGGAATGCAAGATGAATTGCAAAATAAAATGCACAAGATTGGATGAAAATATTTGTTATGACTCTATAAAGTATCTTGTGATCTTACTAATATTCTAGTATAATAATATATTAAAAACTAAATGCTTCATAGATATTTGCACCAAGAGCTTTAAGTTTCTCATTCAAGATGAGCCGCTGAAGCCAGTCTGAAGGAACATCGCCTTGAGTAGAAATGTCTGGAACCTGTCCATTTATTATAGGAATTATTTTTGCCACTGGCATTGTTATTTTGTTTAAATTCAAAAAACCATCCATATCAAAAGAATTTATTGGTTGCTCGACCGAATCTGCCCAAAACGTTTCTGACTCTTTCGACGATCCTGGTAGAGGTGTGTTCTTTTCTGCCGGTTTCACGCCATTAGTCACTGGGGGGGTGCACGTGAAATATTCAGATATATGATCCATCACTAGTACAAATCCACTTCTAATAATAGTGCGCATTAAAGTTTGCACTTCTTCGCTTTCCATGAGATCCAAAGTCTCCTTGATAATTCTTGACAATGTATCATCCGCCTCATTTTCACAGTTTGTTGATAACATATAAGTAGACAGGTTCTTCACGGGATCTCTACTATTATCTGCTGATATCGATGAGACAATCGCCCAATAAATTTGCTCTAAATCTCTTAGGGCCAGTTGGTCCGTCAGGGATGTCGCATCCGTTATTTGTTTAACCTTTTGTTGGATTAGTGATCCTAGTTTTTCCACACCCTCGTCCATAAAATACTCGCACAGCGTCAAGTATTTTTCTAGCGATGGTCCGCTCATGGGCGCTACTGTATTTTGATTTTTAGAATTCTTGAACATGTATCCTCCTACTAAGTTGAGCTGAATCCTCAGAGATGTAACTAACATTGCATATGCGTAAATTATCGTGGCGGATCTTGATATAGCTAACACTTTTAATGTGTTCCACGTTTCCACTTTATCTTGACATCCACTTCTTAACTTGTTTATAACAGCATCTGTGTCCAAAGCTTTTATAACAGATTCTCTTAAAGCTGTTGCTAAGGATAGTATTGTTTGATTACATGTTCTTTCAGTACTTTCAAAGTGTTGGCGTCGTCTAGATCTTTCTAAAAGATCATTTACCTCCTTCTCTTGCCATTCTCGTAGCTTGCGCTGTGTATATCTTGTAAGGAATACAAGACTTCCAATAACAATACCACTGACAATGAATTTTCGTTTATGACGATTCAAAAAATCTCTTAATCGAGAAAACATTGTGCAGTTTATACAGAAAAATTCTCTCAAACACTATATAAAAAAACTTTATGATCTATATGTCTGATAGCACAATACTTTTCTATTATATATGAGAAGGATTACATTGATCACTCTATAGCAAGTTCAGGATGAGAACTCAGTGCTACACGCTCTAATCGGTTTGTTATGTAAGATGTTGTATCGATAAAACGTTCCACACAGTTAACAAGACAATTTTCAGTCTTATGTTCCAAGCGAACAGATGGTCTGTCAATGCAGGTTTCCCAACAGATATCTGTAAGGCTATGCACCAAACTCTATAACAAAAATTGAAAACAAATAATATTATATACCCCATGAAAAGTGTTACCATTTATAATAACGTATATGATAAACTTATTGAGCATAAGATTATTTATCAGTGACTTATTTAACAGCTGACTATTTTATAAGACAAGTTACAAATAACTATTAAAAAGCAATAAAACAGAGTAACTAATTATTGTGAGAAACATTAAAAAATTAAGAATATACATTTTTTTTGCAATTTCATTATTAAAAAAAAACAGTTCCACGACCATAACCACATAATCAGAGTGATATGATTTGAAAAATGTTCATAGAAGTTTATTTTAGCAGCAACCAATGTCTGACCTGAAATTTCTGTTTTTGCGTTTCTATTTCGATGAAATCTTGTAGTTGATGGTCAACCGCAGCTTGCGTACTTTGATCGCCAGCAAAACTCATACTTCAGGTCTTAACAAATACCTCTTGACAAAATAATGAAAGTAAGTACTTAAATATTTTTAACCTTTGAACCACCAGACTCATTTGGGAAAGTGTCGACAGTGGACGCGAGAAACTGCGTTTCCATTTGGACTTCTGACAGTAAACTGCTGCCACCTGGAACGCACAAGTATAAATAGTTTATCAAAATTTACCAACACTCAATAAAATTTAATCAAGTATTTACATAAATATAAAAAATCAATTAATGGTAATACGAATCCTGTTTATACTTATTATAAATATTTGTAAAAATCTCATAAATCTAATAATACCACGCATAAATAATTATTCATGATCTATCATCGCAAGCAACATATACTCAATTACCACATAAAACAAAAAAATCGATATTGGATACTAGAAATAATTTTCTGAAATTCTTTCTTTGTAATATAATTCATAAATTGGTGAATAAAACACCGATAACTTGCAAACATCCATTTTACTTTGATGCACTGGTGTCTGTGTTAATAGAAATATATCCCTTTGTTACTTAAACTGATAATAAAGATAAAAGATACTATACAAAATATTTTTTTTATTTTCAAACTAATTTTTCATACTTCATATTGGCTGACGCACCTCTGCAGATAATGTATTATATACACGAGTGTATTATTGTAGCCAATTACTAACCAAAATCCCCGATAATGTTGCTCATAAAATCCGGATAAGCCGGCGAAACACGAAGAATCTCCTTATCCGAGTACTATTAAAGTTGTACAGTCACTCCATTGAAAAAGTTTAATGAGCTTCCTGAAGTCAGTATGCAAAATGAAATTTGCAGAGCACTCGACGTCATGCAAGTGATCGTCTGTGTTACGTAATTATTTTGTTGTTGCTTTGCATAAATGACTAAAAGACTCCCATTCATTATTGTCCGATAACCATACTTGACTACCCTGACTTAGTTCACAAACACCAGGAATGAAAATATCGACCATTAAATGCCTATAATGAAATAATTTGATGTTTCGTGACAACCAATATGTTAACCGTGTTCCACGCATTATCGAAAAAAAATATATAATTTGTCCATCACGTGTATTGTAAGATGTCCTCGCAATTTAGGCCGCGCGCGTAACTTGTTATTACATTTGTAGAGCAAGAGGCGCCTATGTTAACAGATAAAATAAAATATAATGAAAAGAAAAAGAAACCGTACGAGATACCTGATCCTAGCTCGTCATGCAATTACGCAACGAAATTTCCTAGTAAAGCGATTCCAAAACCGCGGTGCTTTCAAACTACGTTGGTATACCATATAACGAACCTATGCCACCAACCTAATCTAATATTTATTAGTCAACGGATTAACACACATCTCACATAGCACAAATGTCCTATTAACGTCGGTGAGACGTCTATGAGACGTTTAAAATCCCATAGACGTTCGATAGATATCCACAGAGATTTATGGGAAATCGTGCTACGTGCGTTGTCTTTCAGAGTTCAGGTAACTGCGCAACTCAAATACGAAAGGCATCAATCCATAACAATAGTGACAGTACGAAGTAGTACACATGGTATATTTGCATATATGTATACACTGCATCGGTAACTGTCGCTGGAAAATGACAGAACTGATGTGAATGATAACCATTAGGCGTATTTTACCAGGTAGTAGTGTTAAGGAAAGTGTGGACGTGTGGCGCGTGAGGATGGTCCAGAGAGCAGGTCGTTCGAGCGCGAACATTCAGCCGTAAAGTGTCGTTCACCGGGGCAGGCGATAGAGAAGGACAGAGCAGGTCTCGGTGCGACCGTACCGTTCCTACGTTGGTATATAGTACACGTGCATCGATTACGTCTACCGAAGCCACGTGGAGTTGCAGCCGTTGGGATTGGATGCCAGTGGGTAGTGGGTCGTCGGGTGGCAGCTGGGTGGGATGGAGTCGAAAAGGTACGACACGAACCGAGTATTCCATGTGCCTTCTGGTGTTCCTGGTGGAGCTATAACGAAACAGACAAAGAAAAAAGATAGCTGGAGGATATTGGGGGAATCACCCTGGTGAGAAGTTTAGGTACTAACTGAGTGGGGGAAGATCGGTGAAGGACGCTCTTTTGTGGCAAAATGCGGAATGGGCAGGCGGGAGAAGTGGGGATGTCGGTTACACGTGCGACCTCCCCCTACTACTCACCGGCTGTCCCTCCAACGTCCCTGCATCCCCTTACCCGTATCTTCCTCCTCGTGAACCATGAGGTCTACCTCTTCCTTATTCCTTCCAATAGCGCCCGCTTTTACTTTGTGCTCTTATGTCAGGGTGAGGGAGACCCTTCTTATTCGACAGTGGCACCGATCTTCACCCTTTCCACAGGTCTGATCGTTCTCTGTGTCACTATAACCTTCCTATCTTTTTATTCTCCTTTTTTCCTTTGCTTTACAGCAGCTAGGCTCAAGACTTTGGAATCATCCGCGTCCGAGGCCGTCAACCCTCTGAACTCTGGCCGGCGGCAATGTGAGACTGCTGGGCGCTTGAGACAAATCATTACTAGCATTAAACTGCTTTTCCGTTTTCCTTCTCGATACCTTTTCATCACTTATACCACTTGTTCACGCCCATTTCTTATTGCATATGCTTTGAGAATTTTTTGTTTCTGAAACATACGATTTTTTTCTTTATACATCAATATGCTATGAAAGCTCTACTATTCTTATGTGGTTTGTGAACTAGCTTTTATGACCAAGCTATTTCACAACTCCCATGAGTACGTTACCTCTTTTATTTGAATTCAAATTTAGGGCGTTATTAACCGACGGATCGCTAATACCACATATTAAAACAAATGCGAATTTTTGCCTACTTCCCGTTTCATAATTAACGAGTGTCGTGGGATTCCTTTGTTCGAGCTCGTAGTACCTCGTCTCTTGCAGCTTCCTGTTGTGTTGGAATATGGTATAATACGATTGAAAACTTTCATCGAGATATTACTTTACAGTTTTATCCTTCCAATTAGATTTTGGTTAACGATAAAATTCCATTACTCTATCTTTGTTATCGTCTAGCGATATTCTAACAATTTTATTCTTATTTCTTATTCACACTTTACTGAAAAATATCTAAAGTATCCTAGACTTTGTCATCTATGCACTATGAGATCGTCAATTATGTTTATTTATAATGATATCAGTAATGCTTGGTTATTGCAAAATGAATTTTCGAAACCTTACAGATAAATGTAATAATCAATCGTATAATAAATGTAACTGATATCTGACAACGTGGAAAACGTGAAAATGCCCTGTAGAAATTTATATAATACATAGGTACGTGGCGTTACGAAGTGAAATATTATTGAGAATTATATCGCCGCATGGAATGGAACACGTGGTTATATAAAGCCGTGTGTATTATAATTATTCAAATACTTTGTTTAATTATAATGCCAATACGAACACGTGGATTGACGCACTAGATCTGCTTTCACTAACAATAAGTATAATTTGCAAGCTCTAAAATTGTTCTCTTTTTTTTGCAGAAGTGATTGTAATTTCATACTCTGACCAATTAGGATTCGTAAATACATTAACTTCAGTATGTATATTGTAACGTGGCGTCAGGACGACACATTACAAAAGCCCCGCACCTCCGCGCGCTGCCGACAGCACGGCAGTGCCTCCGGCCTCCATCTCCAAAGAGTTCGTAGGTCCGTGGTTCGGGCGAAGGGAACGGGGGAAAGTAGTGGACTGGCGGCGGAGGCACGGGGCCCTTTTGGGTTGAGAGCCCGAATGCAAGGGGTGCTCAACCGCCAGGACGCACTGCCGGTACCCCGGGAACTTTGAACGGCTACGGTTTGCAGGTCCGCGGGGAGGGCGCCGGAGAGGAGATTTGTTTTGATTTTTGACCTACCGCGAAGAGCGGTAGGTAGGTTAGAGAGTGTGTCGCGGGGAGTCCGTGCGTGAGGCCGCGGGTGTCCGGCGGACCGCGAAAAATGAGTCCTTCTTCCGTGCTCGGGCGATAGCGGAGCTATCGGATAATCGCGGATTGCGATTATCGGGATCTCTCGCAGAGAACCATGGCTCCCGGGTTTTTTTTTTTATGGTCTAGTGCCAGTGCGAGCCGAGTGTGTGTTGTATTCCGAGTGTTTGATGTACACCCTCGTGGAGCCGGGATGCGGCACCACGGGGATAGGCGGAAGGGACACGGCCACCACGATTTGGATTTGGTACGGGACTGATGGGACAGCCAGTTCTCGGTAAGTACCGCGAGGGCG